AAATAATTCGTACCTTTAGTTTGTTCTTACGAAGATGGTGCAACTTTAATGGTTTTTTTAAATAAATGTCGGTGCCCCAAAAAAAACTGATTTTCGAAATTTGATTTGAAACGTTGCGTAGAGATAGGTCTGAATGAGAACGCTTCAAGTCTTATTGCTGTTCCTATCCTAAGATACAACTGTGGTAATAGCATGTCTTTTACACTAGTCGTATAAATCTGCAGATTTGATATTCTTATTTCAGGATAAAACCAAATCAAAAGAGCTAAAACTAATTTCTTTAAAATCTGTCTCTATTCAAAATTTCAAATCGAAATTTGAAAATCAGTTTTTTTTTCTGAACTATAGTATTTATTTTAAAAATAATCTAAAATTGTAATATCTCAGTAGCAATAAGCTCAGAACGCGAACACCTTTCAGGGTAGTCAAAGTTCATTTGTATCTTTATAATGCACAAAGCCTCAACTCGGAAGCCATTAAATAGTTGTATTTTTGAGTTTTCTCGATGTTAATATCTGGAGAGAATTCGAAAAAACATTTGAGTAGCTGAAGGAGTTCTCTATCAAGTCGAGTAAATCTAGAAACTCCCATACAATTACTTGGACTAGAGTGTCTGAAAAACCAAGACTCGAAAAACCAGTTGTCTGGTATTCATTTGAAGATGATATTATTTGATAGACCAAAACAAGATATCTCGGCTCTCTGCCAAACGGGAAAAAGTTGAGTTTTTGATAGCCAGTCTTATTAATAATTGCCAATACGGGTGGACCATCTAAGATAACTCCAAAGTTGCGTTTTCTTACTTAACACTTAATGTTAAATTTGGCACTTCATCCATTTACAATCAAGTATAAGTCATTGTGATAGACAAATATCATATAATTTCGAGTTTTTCTTCACTTCCATACCGACGCACAATGGTGACGTTGCGACCATACGAAAGCGGACTCCTACTAGCTTCTGGATTGGCCCAAACAAGTTTCTGTTTTACACTAACAATAGAGGGAGGAAAAAATGTCTACTAAAATCTGACTGGCTGATAGATAGAATCCTCTCACCAATCAAATTTCAGTATGCATTATTTCGTCTATTGTATGAACAAAACATTGTCTTGTTCGGGTCAATCAAGAGCCCTCTCTTACATGACCGGAACTAGATCATTCTACGTCTTTACAATAGCGAAGAAACAACTTTTTTGCATCTGATTAGTCAATGGATTAAAGCTCTTGACCAATCAGATTTTAGTACGGCTTTTCTCTCTGCTATTGTAAGGACAAAATATAGGGTTGTTCAGGTTAATCATAGATTAGCAGGAGTCCTCTTTCATATGATCTCATCCAAGCAGTTTTATCGAAGCTTTCAGGTTCAACAATCCTAACAGTGAGATGTTTCAGCTACTCAAATGTTTCTTCAGGTTCTTCCTAGCTATTACCATTCAGGAGAATGCTCAAAAATAATGCTGCTCTAAAGTTATGTCCGCTACTATACAATTGTTGAAAACAATATTTGGATTTCTTGTATAAGAATCGGCTCGGCTTTTACAGAAAAGTTTACCGCCATCCAACTGTTATGTTTGATAAAATTTCATAGGATATGATTAGATCTTGGAATGATCGAAGTCTCAATAGTTTCAAGTGTTTCATAATAAAAACTTTCAACAAAATCTCTGTAGCAAATACGATAAAATTGATTTCATCTTAAATAAGAAGGATTTAGCAATAGTTTCAGTATTCAAAATCAAGTTTGAAAAATAATCGATGAAGTCAGTATATTAGCTATTAAAATTTCTAACTTTACAGCAAATAACTCAGTACCTAATAATGTTGTATAAATTTTCTCAAAATCGAAGTAATATAAATTTTTTTCTTAAAAACTTTTGTCTATAACTAATATTTTAAAAGTACATTCTTATGAACAACAACAACAACAAAAAATAGATTTCAAGATATTTTGAAAAACTAATTAGAAAATATTCTTACCACATCCTGCCACTTCCATTTTTGTCCAATCATTTAGAATATTATCAAATGTGTTTACATCAACACTTCCATGTAATAGTACTCGTTGATTATTGTGCTGGTTTCGTTTATAAACATCATCCAAATTATTAAACTTTGCATTTGATAATGCTGTACCCCAATAAATCAAACCTTTCCATCTGAATAAATACGAAATAATAGTAATTAATTATTCTTTATATTCTATTACTCACCTATATTCATCAAGTTTTTCATTAAAAGCTCGATTAATCACACCTAGAAGAGCACGACCATTCTGAAGATCAAAACATCCAATAAGTACCAAAGCTGTTGGAAGGCCATCTTGAATAATTCCAGTATTTAAATCAACAAGACCATCAATACCATTTATATATTGTTGTGTTCCATCAACAGGATCAATCCATATACCAATATTTGATAAATCAATAGAAATATTATTTGGAATTTTTTCAAATGACTGTTTACATTGTTCGGAAAGTGTTATATCTGATGATGATGCAACTATATCAGCTAAAGTTTCAATTGACTGTGTAGATTTATTATCAAATAATTTTTCTATTCAAAAAAGAAAATACAATTAAAAAATTGACAAAAATTATTTCTTGATTTTTTTGCTCCTACTTAGAAGATTAAGAATATCTTCTCGAGTACCGGTAACATCTATGATAATTTTTTCATCACTTGAATTTAATTTTAATGAACCATCTTCTTCTCCATATATATGATTAGTTAATGATGGATACTAAATGAATTAGAATCAAATAAAATTGCATTATTAAATATTAACTTACAATTCTTCGTAAATCTCGTTTAATGACTTCTTGAATAATCACATCACTTAAAAGAAAATTAAAACGTTTATAAAAAATACATTTGGAAGAATTTAATTTACGCTAAAGTTTTATAATCAGCATTGAGATGTTGATGATTTTCATCCACTAAATAAATCGTTTAAGATAAGAATACAGAAAAAAAAAGCTTTGATGAATATTACATTGTTTTTTTTCAATCATACTATTGAAATCAGTATGCATAAAACGAATATGACGTGCGATACATGCTGCTTTTTCTGAACAAACAGATAATTGATATAAAAACTCATGTAATAATACTGATGACATTATCTAAAATTATTTCAAATTTAGAATAATATTTATTAAGATTAGTAATCATGTGTTAGATTTGCTTTTGAAACATAAATTAACTCGAAATATTGATTGACCATGTTGAAAAAAAAATGCTTCCATGTGACCCGAATGTGACATCAGAAACAAACAAATAACACAGAAAACATTTAAATCTTTTCAATATCAAAACATGTGTTCTTTCTTACGTGAATCATATTCTTTTTTCTTCATCATCTGTTACATCAAATCAGAATTTATATTTATGTTACTTATTAAACAGTATTTCATAGATAAAAAATAATCAAAAATCAAACGGAATATTTCTTGGTCTTTGATTAAGTTTAATACTTCTGTTCTATCAATGAGAAAAGTAGAAAGTTTCGCTTTCATAATTGGTAATAACAGTTGTGATGCATCATAGAAAAAAAAATGTAGAGTTTCTATGCCCGAGGACAGAATTGAACTGTCGACCCCTGGTTTACTAGACCAGTGCTCTAGCCACTGAGCCACACGGGCGTACCATTTTGTAATTAAATATATGTATTCTACTTGGTTAACTATGCAATTAACTTTAATTTTAATTCAGTTCTACATATAGCGAATATTTTTCTTCTCGACAATAATTCTGTTACTATCCTAATCAATGACCGAATTCTCATTTTTAAGAAACAACTAATATTCTAAATTCACGAAGGATGAACAATTATTTTTTGCGTTTTTTTTTATTATAAAACTTTAAATAATAATTTTTCATGCAACAAAATTCTGTTCTTAGAATAAAGTCTACAATAGGATTGAAACTGAAATTTTTTGTTTTCATACACATCTCTAAACATTAAAAATAAAGAACTTCAAGTTAACTAGGCTTTTGGTTTTTATTTGAAGATACTCAAACAAATAAAACAAAAAAGAATTTTTGTTTGACTATTTCCAGCTTACATTATTCAGTAGTGATCCACCAAGTTCTAATATGAGTTTTGTTTTCAATCACACAAATCACTCGACATACAAGAAATATATAAATAATTTTTTAAGAAAAAAAAACAAAACACACACGCACACAAAAACATAAATTAAAACAATGCTTTTGTTATTAATATAATATAAATAGATGTACATCAATAAATTCTACAGATCAGCACGTGATGATGTAAGGGGTATATTTTGAAGTTCATATTTTTTTGAAAAACGTTCAGAAAGTATCGTCATAATAATAATCGATAAAAATTGTATAACATACCAAGAAATTATGTTAGGATATTGATAATTATAAATGCAACAAGCAATAAAATGATAAAAATGAATTGTTATGGAAAAATCTAAACATTGTTTATACCTGCCAACAAAATAAAAAATAGCAAAAGCACTAAAATATAAACACAACAAACATGAATCAAATATGGATTTTCTATTCTTTTTTTTTACCCTGTTAATGCATTAAGTAAAAATACAGTAGAAAAAAATCGCCCATTCCAACTAGATAGTTGTAATGTCTTAAAGAAATTTAATTGATGATTACAAAAAAAAAATTGTTTTTTTTTTATCTTACATCATAGGAGAAAATATAATCAAGTGTTGGTACTCGATTAAAAGCAAATGTGATGAAAAATATCAAACAACCTAATCCAAAATAATAAAATGTTTGAACGGCAATAATCTGACTAATGATCAACCATGGATCCCATCTTTGATTTCGAAATCCACTCATTATACAGATCAATATTGTAAGATCATATCTAAAAAAATGCGGAATATTTTCTTTTCTTCTTGTTATTTAAGATGTTCAGTTATTTTTTATTTCTTTTATCGACATATTAGCTGTTTTCTTTTGTCTCAAATCGATAAACAATAAGAAAAAAAAACAATGTTTGTTTTATTTCTTCTTGCCACGTTTGTGATGACCACCTGATTTCTTCGGTTTACCACCTAAATTAAACAAAAATTAGAATAAATAAAAAATGCTTCTTTTTTCGTATCTTCATACCAGGTAAAATAACACCATCATATGTTTGTTGAAACCATTTAATAGCTTCCTCTTTGGTTATTCTATGTGAAGCACCTATGCGTGATTTTTTATGTTTACGTTTACCAATATCATAACCAGCTCGACCAAGTACAACATAAAAGTCCATGCCGTAGATACCAATTGATGGATCATATTTAATACCTATAATTTAATTATATATTAGTAAAATATTTTTATTAAATTTTAATCTCATGAGATAATGAGTTCGATCTATTTTGAGCAGTATACTCTGAAAGTATGCTTAAACTATTCAAAATTCTGACCAGTAAAACAATTCAACAATCTATTCGGAAGTACAGAATCTAAATAAGTTGAGTTAAATTTAAGTCTTCAAAATATTCCTGTGCACAAATTTCATCATGAAATTGCAAATTTGACTTAATAATATCAAAATCAATAGAATAAGTAATAGATTTATGTATCATATCATATGGTATTCATTATTGAAGAGCTGCTGAAGTTTGTCATTGCTATTATTCAATCAATAGAGAACATATTAATACTTGCCTAAATCGATATGTTCTTGAATACCGAAACCAAAGTTACCCATTTCACTAAAATTTCCTTTGTGTAATTCATATTCTTTAACTTTAAGACCTTTTTCTAATATTTCTTTAGCTTTTTCACCACGTACAGTACAGAAAACGCCAATTTTTTCATTACGACGTATACCAAATGATCGTACTGTATAACGTGCTTTTGAAAATACGGGTGTTTGACCAGTTAATTGTTCAAGAACTTTTGATGCACGTGTCAAACGATCACCAGATTCACCGACACAAATATTTAAACATAATTTACGAATACGTAAATCGCGCATAATATTTTTGGTTTTTTCTTTTTTCATTACGCGGCCAGTAGTTGTGCTGGTTTTGGTTGGACTTGTTGTGGCTGTTGTTGTTTTATTTTCTTTTCGTCCAGTCATGATTATTGAAATCAAACAAAAACAAGATGTTTATAATCTAGAAAAAATCAAAGATTTGTTTGAGAAAAAAATTCTCTGAGCATGCATAATTATTAGAAAATCATTCTATTATTAATAGGCTTTTTAAATTCATCATTTCTATGAATTATATGCATATGGCGTTACTTTTTTTTTTTTGAACGATTGATTACAGAATGATACAATGCCTTTCTTTGTGACAAGAGAGACAGAGTCATAGCATGATGAATGGTTAAAAATTCATATTTAACCTGTAATAAATGAGTACACTAGACTGATAACATTTTAAAACGGTTAATCTATGATTTTCTATACTAGAATGAAAAAAAAACAAGAATCTACATTTTCTTTCAGTCAATGTATACAATCTACGAAGAATATTGAGTAAATTTATTACAGTTCAAATTCATCAATTAAATAAAACAAACGATGAAGAAGTGTAATTATCTCTGAAAGTATTACACTTTCATGAGTAATATAATTGTAAACCTGTATTTTTGTACGAAATAATGCATAATTATTAAAAGATTACCATTATGATCTCTGATAATTTCTGATCGATCAACCTATTTTAATCGATTATTTTGTCGAAAAAATGTATGATAATGAAAAAAATAAATAAATAATATGGATGCAGTTCGACAACTTGAATAAAATAAAATTCACTCATTGGAGATCAATTTTGCCTTATTTCTAATGTTAGGATTCTTGGAAATCGATATGAAAAAAGTTTTTCAAATCATTTATTTACTATTATTACTATTATTTAAAGGATTTTCTTTAAAGATAGAATGAATTTTATGTGATATCAGATACATAGATGACGCTAGATATCGATGTTGAATGAACTGTCATTAGTAATAATAAAAATTTTGATAAACATACAATCAGTGTTTCTATTAACAAGTGTTACAAGTAAAAACTATAAAACATCTTTTGCTTCTGAGATACATGCTATTTTACGCAGGTATGTTAAAACGTTTTGATTTAAAAATAACAAAAAAGCGCCAATAGACTGATTAAACGTTTATGTAGTTTAATAAAGAATTTTTCAGACCTACTTAAATATACTGATAAGCACTCAAAAACTTGAACATTCTTCAATAATAAAGTTTCTTGTTTTGGAAAGTTAGTCACCATCCAATATTTATGAGCGTATGGTGACAATACTTCATTACGTGCCCGACTATTTGAATAAGTCCATTGCTTCAAAGATGTACAATTAAACATCAATGAGGATCCTGGGATCGATCGAATACTTACTACAGTGGACGAAACAACTGCTAAATCTGTTGAAAGTCTAGTCGTCGAAGGCCATCGAGTCACAAGTGAACAAATAGCGGACACTCTGGCATTGCATCTGGTATTGTACATGACCAGTTACAAATGACTCTGACAGATCTAGAATTTTTATGATGAGAGGTGATCATGATTGCAAAAACGTGTTTTGAAGTTCATTAGAGGTAGTATCAGTTCATTTTTAAGCCTTTTCTCTTAGGAAAAACCGAGAAACATCTTTTGGAAAAGAACGATGCTCCCCTCCCTAGCATCCTCATAAATTCTTCACTGAAATTACTATAGTCTGCTTAGGATAAACGTCACATTCGCTTACATCTGATTACTGAAACGAACATGTTCAAGAATGCCAAGAATTTTTAATTCGGTATAACTACCCCAGGCTGATCATTCCCGCTATCGGAAACGGTGTCTTATCTAGTTCGCAATGGCTTTATTCCTGTCGTTTTGGTACGGCTTTCTTCTTGTATAAGAATCATTTTCAATACTCGAATTGCAGCCTGGGCAGTATCCTGCTGTTACTTTCATTGCATAAATAACATTCTTGTATTCATATTTATCCACACAATCTACATCTACAGTAGATGCATGAAAAGGAGTTCACACATAGTCAATAATCGTGCCTACTCTATGTGAAAGTACCATAAAGAATTTTATTATCTAAAGTAGTTCACTAATTAAAAAAAAGCTACTTTCAAGAAGGTTTTTTTTATCAAGTAACTCAGTAGTCTTTTATCGCCATTTTTGAACGTTCACCAGCTGTTGTTTCTATTTGTTGTGAGATAGATCATTGGAACTTGAACAAGTTCTCTGTAAAGCATCTAGAAGACAAATGAATGGATTCTATCATCTTTACAACTCATCTATGAAAAAAATGACCAGCGAAGACGTGTACAGTCGCTCGATAACTCAATATTAATATTATGTCAATCATCGTGTGGCACGACATATCGTCGAATAAATCTCAAGAAAAAATGTATCTATCGATGCTTCACAAAAAAGTTGATTGAGCCCTCATATTAACAAACAAAAAGAAAAAAAAATGAANGAGAGAATTCTAGTTCGTCTAGTTTTTGAGATAAACGCAAAATAAAATAATCTATTGATTGGTTTAGCCTAAAAGAACTTTATTTGCGTCAATGCAAGGTTCATAAAGTAACGCATGTATTCATAATAGATAGTCTCAAAACCATGGATTTAGAGGCACTTTTGTAAATCTATCTAGGTTTTTAGATCAAATGTAGAACTACAAAATTATTTAGTTTCTTATATTTTATTTTCATGTCAAGAAAATTAAGTACCTTCTTATCTTTACAACTCTCTCTCATGATTTCCTTTTTCGATAACATCATCTGTAGTCTTTCTTAAACTAGTTTTGCATTGAAAAACGTTTCTACTAAAATATATATGATTTGATTTAGTCTTTTATGGTCATATCGATTTTTTTCAATCGACCTATTATTCGTGTAAATACAATATTGTTTTGCGACTAGAATGAAAAACTAAGTACTTTTCCAACCCCATATTTGTTCTTAGTTATTTAATAAAATATTTACACTGATTTACAAAAGTGTCTATAAACTCATATTTTGAGACAATTTATTACGAATCAATGCTTTATCTCATTAATCTTGTATTAAAGAAAATAATTTTTTTTCAGGCTAAACTAAAATGATGTACATTTAGTGAATTTACAATAAATAAATAATAAATACTAAAGAGTTTTATAATAAAAAGAAAAAGATTTTTAGTTGATCTGTGTGTTTTCTTGACCTTTTTTCCGTGCAAGACTAACGTAATTGAGTTCAAAGGTATTATATACAGCGCATAAAAGTTTAGAACAGCTATATTTTTATATTTTTATTCTCGATAGCAATAGTTAGTTAGAACAATATTTGTATAGCTGAAAAGGTTCTCTATTAGGATTACCGAGTCTGAAGACTTAAACAAAACTGCTTGGATGAGAGTCTTCGAACGCGTCAATCCTAATAGAGAACTCTTTCAACTAAATTAAAAATATAGCTGCTCTAAACGTTTATCTGCCACTAGTGACCAGCGCATCAAATTCTATGAAATCATGTATAATTAAAATCTATTTGAATATATTTCTTTTCTTTCAGTTGTTGGTTATCTCATGATAATGCATTTATTTGGACATTTGCTATACCTTTTATATTGTTAATTCTTGTAAGTTAATAAGAAAAAAAATCGAAAATGAATAATAATTTTATTATTATAGATTAATTTTTGTTTTTTTATTGTATCAATTTATTACATTTGTAAAAGCCTAAATTCTACTGATCAAACACATACAATAAGGTTTGTTTAAAAAAAAAAGAAAATTATAATTTTTAAATAATTTTTGATTTTTTAAAGATTTTCTTTACGTAATATATCAACAATATCGATTCTATTTGGTTTAACATGGATAATTGGTTTATTTTATCTTTATGATCAATCTATTTTATTTGCATATATATTTACGATATTTAATTCATTTCATGGTTTATTTATATTTATATTTTATTGTTTATTAGAAAAACATGTTCAAAATTCATTAAGAAAATTAGATTTTTATAAAAAAACTCATACATCAGTAAAATATTTCACTTTAAAAATTAATACAACAGAAATAAGAAAGATCTATTTTATTTTTTTTAGTTTTTTCATCATTATATAAAAAGAAATTCAAATGGAAATCAAATACGTAAGAAAAATATTTTAAAAAATAAATGCATAAATTTCTTTCTTTTTTTATTAGATGAAAAATCTATTGAACATTTTTCTTTACCTGATAATACAAGTAATAGTGATTATAGTTCAGGACATTCATTTGATATTAATAATAAACAAATATTATCTAATCAAACGAAAACTTTACATTCAAATAATATATCTCATCAAATATCATGTCATAATCAATATGATCGACGATTTTGTTTAAATAATGAAACATCTTATTTACCAAGTATACCAGTTGGTTTATTAGCAAATCGTCTAAGTACATTTCGATATCCATTACCATCAAATGAAATTATTTTATCCTATGAACAAAATGAACAATTACTTCAAAAACCTCAAATTCATGAAGATGATCATCAGTATTATGAAATTGGTTGAACCCTTTTTCTGTGTGTGTGCGTGTGTGCGTGTGTTTTTTTTGTATCTTTTCATTTTCCGGTGTTATATAAATATATAAAAGAAGCAAAAAGTAAACAAAACTATTGATACTTTTATTGTTTATTATGTAATAATATATATTAATGAACACAATTTTAGACAATAGCAAAAGAAAAATTGTCTGTTTTTTTGGATTTATTGTTGAGATCAATCTGTTGATATTGTTTCTTGATTAAATTTCATTGTTAAATTATTTTCAATTAAAATCATGATTATATTATGATAAAGGAATAGGTGTTTGCCGGCATATACATATATATTTTACAAAACGACATATTTGTTGACGAAAAGTAAATGACGAAAGTGCATATATCAATGGATTAACACATGCTGCTGTTTTCGTAAGTAAACCAAGCATTGCTGTTGAATATGGATTTATGAAATGATCAAAGCCAAATTGTGATAGAACAGCCATTAATGCATAAGGTCCCCATGCTGTACAAAATATAGCACATACAGATAATGCTGTACGTCTAGCTCGAGCTTCTGTAAGACGAGCATGTCGTGCTATTTGATTTTCTTCATTTGGTTCGTAAATTATTCCTGCTTCACTTTGACGTCGTACATCAGTTAAAAAATTAGCTTGTTGAAAATCATAAACATTTACTTGTCTTGATTGTAGTTGAAGATTTTGTTCATCACTATTTCGAAACATTAAATGACGACCACGACCATTTAATTTTATTAAAATAAATGTATATGATATTAAAATGACTGATAATGGAATTAAAAATCCACCTGTTACTAATGTTAATATAAATAATCGATCTGTTAAACTTCGAGAAAAATAATCGAATGTACATGTTGTACCAAAACCTTCAAAAATAAAACGATTCCAACCAAATAATGGTGGCATTATCCACATTGAACCGTACACCCAACTACATATAAGACATTCTATTAAATAAAAACACATTTCGAAAAAATCTTATTATTATTATAAATATTTGAAAGTACAAACTTATTGTAAATTGACCACTTAATTTCAATGAACTAAATGGATTAATTACAGCTGATAAACGAGTAATTGAAATTGCGGCCATTGTTGCAATCGAACCTAGGCCAAATACACCACCACATACAGCATACAAATTGCAACCTATTCACATTTAAGATAACTATTGTAATATGAATTCATACAAAGGAAATCCTTTTACTAATTCCCATTTTAAAAAAAGACAGATGGGATTTTTTTTTTGTATAACATTTGATAGAAATAAGATAAAAAAAACTGCAATTTTCACCTGTAGAAAAAGGAAATGAACACGCTTCGTTTTGTATATTACAAGGATTTATTCAAGGTTTTTTCTTAGGTGTTCAATCGACCTTTTTGAAAATCAATGTACCCTGTCAAGTTACTATAGGAATTTTCAATTATCGGATGTGCACATACGAACCATCAATGCAAGCCCTACAAAACTACGGAAGTCTTAGGTTTTTAGATTCAGTTCCATACAAGAACCATCAGTATTCTGGTCATAATTCTCGACCAATTTTTCAAGCAACTGCAGTGAAAAAAAAATCAAATTTTTGCTTTTTTTTTTTATGCTAAAAGGAATTATTTGTTTGGATTTTTCTAAACAAGTTTGATTTAACAAAAAAAATCTCAGAAAATATCTTAGGACAACTTATAACATATGACTCAAGACGATTTCATCTCCTCTTTCTTATCATGAAAACCACAGTGCTCTATCTTGTTTCTATCAAAATTTATTCAAAAAAGTACCCGATTACCTTGTTTTTGTGACAAGGACGTTCATTTCTATATATAAATATAAGAATACACTAATGTCTATTTCTTTTTTCTCTCATGACGATTGTAACTGTGTACATTTTTCATATTGATCGATTATGAAAAAACGACTTCGAGTTTTCTACTATGTCTAAACATAGAGATTTCTCATCATTTTTATTTAAAAAGTTTTAAAATCTCAGAAATAATGTTGACCTCAGATCTTTAAACTTTTCAGGTAAAATCCCTAAAAGCTATGCATATTTTGACGTAAATATAATAATTTAAATTTCAGTTGTGGGAAAAATTAATTAATTCAGGGTATTCTTTTATTATGTCCTACGCATCGTACTCAGGGAGGTCTTCTATTGCTGAGAAGGAATGTAGAGTAACAATAATATATTTCATGATAAGTGAACGCGAAAACTTCAACAGGGTGATCTTTCATGACCTCTCCATTTACTCAAGACTCTTGATGTCATGACATTGAAAATAAAATTTTGACGGAATTTAACGTATTTTTGTATAAAATTGCATCGGTATACTTTTTGATCAAAGAGAAAATGTCTACTCTTTGTTCTATTGACAGCAACGTATTTGAGCGTCAATTAACATTAAATATAGCAATGATGATTTGAAAATAATTAATGAGGAAAAATATTAGATCTAACAATAATTTAATTAGCATGAACTTTGATGAACAATATTTAATCTAAACTATGTTGAGTACTTTTTAATTTCAAGAATATAAGATATAAAAATTCTATTATCTCAGATTGTACAACGTTCTAGGTCATTGAAACGTGATCATCAGTAAACGAAGATGACTTTTCTACACATGAGATATGTCATCGAACATAAATTTAGACCTAGATTTCGGATATGCTCTTGAGTCTCAATTCATCATGTAAATGTCTCATTAGATAGGATAATAAAAAAAAATATTTTCTTTTTATTTTGACATTCTACGACGTACAACTAAACTCATTATAATTTGAATATTTTTTAGTATTTGGCACAGGTGATATATCTGAATAACATTCTCAAAATCATGTTTTAATAAAAAAAATAAATAAATTTACCTATTTGTCCAAAAATCCACTCTTTTTTAAATGATGCGATAACATGTAACCCATTATTTGATATAAGTAATCCAAGATCAGTAATAGCAAGATTGACAATAAAATAATTTCTTGGTCGCCGTAAATTTGGATCTCTAGAAAATTTAATTATATAAATCAATATATAGATTAAGCATTCAATTTACCTAATAAATATAAATATAAGGAAACCATTTGATAACAAACCAAACAATAAACATAATAAGGAAAATGAACCTGTTGCATAGTGCCATATCGCTGGCACTGATGCAGATATGTTCATAAACAGAGAATAGTCAATAGTCATTGAAATAATTAAACGAAAAAACGAAATACTAATACTTAATGGATAAAATATAAAAGAAAAAAAGACATTGTCATTTACTATAATAGATCTGTTGAATATAATTTTTCATAAAATATTCAAAACTTGTTTTGATAGTATCTGTCAAAGCAAAACAAGAGTGTACCTAATGTCCGCCGTAAAAAAGGGTAGTTATGTCTTCATTCATTTAGACCCCCATAGATACACGCTTCTAGAAGAGAAATTCCTTTCTATTTTTCTATTCAAAGAAAAAAAATATAAGTCTTCGAAACAGAAGGAAAGCACTCATCTTCCTCTTCCCTCCTCTTTTAGTACCTTCTTGAAAGATGGCAAGCCATTTTTTTTCTTTTTTCTATCAATTGTACTTTTTGTGCCTATAAAGTCACACAAATAGTAATAATAACAATGAATTTTTATTATTTTCTATCTCATGAAAAGAAAGAAAGCAGAAGATCAAGTGACTTGTGCACATTGCCATCAACTTAATCGTTACCTGGTCTAGTAAAATTTAGTTTTTATCTATACATGGTCTCACACGATAATTTATTTTCCAACATATATATGTGATATAGAAAAACAAAAATCAAAGAAACAAAAACCAAAAAAATGACGTGACATATCCTATTAATGTAAAAACAACAAGGAAAAAAACTATTAGAAGCCAACAAATAATTTAAAGTCAAATTTGTATCACGCAATAGAAATTGATATATTGCAATAAGTAAAAATTATGGATATGTCCTTTTGTTTAAAAATGGAAAGAAAGAAAAACCTGTTCTATCTGCTGCAATCTAGCTTCTAGACATAGAATTACAGAAAAGATGGATTCAGGAGAGATTAACTGACACAATCTTGACAGTAATTCTGATCGTTTTTCGCGATAGTATCTTTCATTTGCTCTACCTTAGTCGAATAATTCTAATTTTATGGGTTTTTTATAAAATCATTCTTTCAATAATTAAAATAAATCGAAACTCGTTACAAGTCATGTTAACATTACTTGAATATTTGATGTGGCTTTACTTCCAAAAACATAGTTTTTTCATAACATATAATTATTAATAAAAGAAAAATGTTCTATCCCCTGAAGAAATAGGCATTACATGATCTAAACGTACATTCTTATATGAAAAATGAGACTTATGCAGGAGGATTTTCTCTTACTGTTTTTGTTTTGTTTACATTAAACTTTTTTTTTATTGGAAATGAACAACATCTAAATATGCAGGCAACTGTGAAATTCACTCTCATACAAATATACTTATAAGAATATTAATGTGCCTCCTGCCATTTTGTACTTTGAAGCAGAAGTTATATTATTCTTCGTATAGAAAAAAAAACACATATTTTCTATTCATGCATGAGAAGAAATGACTATTTTTACTAAGAATATCTATGCATAAACTAAACGATCTTAACATCGTTTTTTATAATTCATATTTTTTTAAGTTCTAAAAATCGAAGTCTTACAAACAACGACAATTACTTGTTTTGATAAGGCTCAATGACTAAAAGGAAAACATATAATCATAGTTAAAAAATTTGCGCACATCACAAATTATAATTATTAGGGCTAAAGTACCGAGATTTATCGTTCAAGTATTTTTTTAATGAAACTTCAGTAACATGTCGAAAAAGTATGATTATTTTCTTTTTAGCAGTTGTAAATTTTATAATCATTTTATTAAAACTATTACGTATGAAAGTTTTTTTTCTTTATTTGTATCATTCTCTCAGAAGAAATTTGAAATATTACGAAGTATTATCAACATAGTTTTATTTTTCAGATATTCCATTAAGAAATATGGCTAAGATATTACGTTGTTCGTTTACAATGAAAATATTTAGTCGACTTCAGATTACAAAGATCAAAAAACAGTGTGTAAGACTTCAGTAATCTTACAAAAGTCCTCAGTACTTTCATTATAGGTACAATACAAAACAGTATAAGATACTTAAGCATATATATATATATATATATCATGATACAGTAGCCATATTTCTTAATGAACTACCTGGGAATAAAACTCATCTGTTGATACTTCATGCTAGTTCAAATTACAAACCAGGAATCGATATAAATGAAAAAGTTTCATCGGAAGTACTTTGAAAATAATGATAATAAGGAAGTATTTTGACAAATTTTGTTCCTAATTAGATGTATTAGTCAAGCAGTAAGAAATTATTAGCTTAGAAATCTAGAGTAATTGATAAAAACCAAGTTACACTTTTAAAATATGCAACTGAAGCTACATAAAATAGATATTACAAGTAAAATCAAAACGACTGACACCTATCAAATATGTATGTAATTAGGAATATGATAAGTCTTTGCAGATATGATGATCTCATGTAATAGAATCTTTAGACGTTTCGCAGACGGTTCTAATTTTTCTTATAATATTTTTTGTCAAAATGTTTTACAATCGTTTTAATTTTTTATGAATAATCCTGTAGTTTTTTTTTCTCTTAATGCTGGATACATTTCAAAAAGAACATAAAAAATCCAAAAAATGAAAGTAGTTCTACAAAACTAAAACGATTTTGAAATTAAAAATCAAGATCAAAAGAATGGTTGTCTTTATTAGGTCAATTCGCATGATTTACAATTTAATTTTTAGTATTCTTTCTAAAAACTAATCGAAATCAATTGATAAACTAATTAGGTTAATCGAAAAAAAAATATAATCAAATAACTATCATCTAGGTTAAATAATCAAATGATTCAAGTTTAGTATTTCTCTATTTTTGTCAAAAGAATAATTATGACGAAATTTCTTTTAGATATATTTATATAATAGTGAGCTCAAAGATCAAAATACACTTGTTTGTACTTATTCTAAGTCTATCACGGTGAATTTAACAAATTAGCTATTCTACAGTCACATTCGCCATGTGAAAAAAGAACAGACGCATATAATAAAACATGCAAAAGCTAAATAATGGAATGAAGAACGAGGAAATATGTTTTAGTTGAGTATTTGTTTTTCTAGAACTCATACATTTTGTATGAGGGTCACGATGAAGAAAATTGATTATTTACATGAAATTTATTGCGATTTCTTATTTATAGTTGTCTCATCAAGTGTTGAAATAAACATTCTATTTTGATGGATATATTTACAAAAAAAGTTAAGCTCCTTTTATAGTTTGAGGTTGTACAAAATTAATCTATGCATAAAATCAAAGTCAATTTCAATAATCAATAAAACCTGGTTTTCTTATGCCATTGTTACCTGAAATTGGAGTACGTCATAAGCTTGATTCGTCATTTTTGTAGAAGATAAAATTCCAAGAAGATTAATAATGTTGTCGCTTTGCACAAGAAACGGAAATATCATCTAAACAAAACTAAAGAATTTCATTGCAGAGTACAATATATAATTTACTAGGAAGTTCATTGAAATGTCAATAGAAGTCTGATGTAAACCAGTAATATTGACAAGCACACAATCTCATTAATAGCATTTCCTGTAATACGAATGTTCAACTTTCTTTTTTTTTATATTTCAGAAATCCAACAACTATTAAAGAATAGTGGATTGATTCTATATTTATTTTTCATAGTAAATATTGTTACTTTAAATGGCTGTTGATCAAACAATAGTCTTTTGTCAGTATACGCTTTTTGTTTGCTAAATAGACGTTTCTTTTTTGTTTGCAACCATCAAGTACAAATGTATTTTCTTACTGCATTGTTCTATTGCAAGAGAATTGTGTATGTAAGCCAAAACAAAATACAAACAATTGACGTTGTCACAAGATATACTAAATTTAGACGTTGATAAGAATACAATCTAAATAATAATAGACAGTACTATCACAAAAAAGTAGACAGTACAATGTTGAATATTTTTTCTTTAATCATGCAAATACATTAATCTTGATATAAAGTGTTTTTAAAGCTAACAAATGGAATTCTTCATGTTAGTCTAATAATCAAAGTGTGCAATATATAAACCAGAAACAAACAAAGAAAAACATCAATCAATTCTTATAATACAAGATAAAAACATACTAAAGAGCAAACAACATTCGTAAGTGTTGACACGGCTTAATTTCATTTAGTTAACTTAATATCAACACTTGATAAAAGCAATAATAGGTCTCGATGAGATTATGTTATAAAAAAGAACATCTTTACTAGATGCTCCTCAAACTTGTCTCATGTTGAAAAATATTGATGCTAAACTCGACTCATACGTAATTTAATTCTCATCTGCCAATTAATTAAAAAAAGCGAAATGAGTAACAAAGATGGTTTATTGTTTTTTTTCTATTCGTTGACAGAGTAACTGACATATGTATAGTGTCGGACATAAGTTTAGAACAGCTGTATTTTTTAGTTTTCTTCTTGATTGTTACTGTTAGGAGGAATCTGGAAAAATATTTGAATAGATGAAAGAGTTGTCTATCAGGATCTAAAAATTCTAATACAAATGTTTGAATGAGAATATCTGAAAAACTAAAACCAGTTTTCTAGCATACAGTTAAAACTTTTTGGAAATGGTTTTATTTGATAGAGCAAAATGAGATGTCTCGGCTTTTTTCATGATGTTCCTTTATCGAACTGTATTTAATTTACCCTTCCTCTCCCCTATTGCGGTTCCGAAAGAGCCACTGATAAAGTAATTTTATAAATAGAGTATTAACCTTCTTGATATAAGAATGAAATGATCTGATCTACTGAGTATACTGCTTCTAGTGTAGAGCAATGTGATTGATTCAACGATCATATGTTGAAAAACGAGAATTGAATAACATCGTAAGACTTTCAATAATGGAGAAAAAGAAAGAGTAAACCGATAAAAATCAATATCAAAGAATACATGCGCTTTTTTTTTCTTACATATGATGTCAAATTAAAGTTTATTTTTCTCTGAATCATTTTATAACCTCTAAAGAAATTTAATTTCTACTTTTCATGAGTTGAGATTTGTAATACACATATTAACTTTGTTCTTGATTACCCTTCATCAATCCAATAGTGGCTACATAGTCGATTATATGCCTTTGTATCTGTAATTCGTGCAGTTACCATGAAACTTTCGAAACATATTTAATTCCCCAGTAGGCATTGTCATCGATGAATACTACATAGAAGTTTCAAAAGATCTCTATTTGCTAGGAGTAGAGAACGTTTGGTTTCAAAAATTTCCAAATTTTTTTTTTTCATTTTTTTAAATTATCGATTTTGTAGATTCGATATTTCAAAAACAATATTCTTTTTACCAATAGATAGTCCGTACAGCTTGTGACAAGAAGGATTCGAATTGTTTTTGAACTCGACACTTCCTCTATTTTCTGTAATGTTACATCCAGGTACCAATAGGGCGATAAAGGATTACGATTCTTCCGAGTTATTATCTTCGAGAAGAAAATTCAAAAATACAACTATAACCTACTTTCCATCACTATAAATAACGAAGAAAGAAGATAGAAAAAAACTCAAACACAACACGATAGACTTTATTTCTTTGCCAAAGAAGCTTTTCCATATGATCAAATTTTGATGATTAGTTATAGTTTTGTTTAAATCGATGTTTTGTGTTGTCGAATAGTTTGTGAATTTAAATTGTGAATAGTCATATTACAAGAAACGAGTATTATATTTATATTCTCAACTCAGTATTAAAATAAGATAATCTATTTTAATTGTCAATCAGAAACGAGTTGTTTGTAGACTAGACATGTATTAGATCAAAGTTTTCTGGTTCCGATCCTGAAACTAATTCTGCCCATGCCTAATGTAGATCGTTTGATATTTGTTCCTTTCTAAATTACGAATAAATATGTTACAATCCATAATTATTGTCCGAATATAAAGACAAAGTTTATTAATGACGAACGAAATTACACAAATAGTAGAAAAGAATCATAAAAGCAACAGAAAAACATCTTTAAAGTTGAAATTTCTTATGAATGACGTAATATTCTTTTAAATTGTCAAATGTATCATTCATATCTATTTCTATAAATCGATGATAAACAAAAAAATCAGATGACAAGTTGGCAATACAATATTACTTTAAACTTGCATCGTCATGAAAAAAACTCATCATCAATCTATTGATATAAATAAGAAAGATAAATTTCAATTTAGAAAAATTTTAAGTCAAAAGGCAAGAAAAACTTTTTAGAAGTTAAGACGACCAGGATTATTAAACTCAGTGTTTGTAGCAAATGTTTGTAACATTTGTACAAATTCATTAGCTGATGGTAAACGACCAGTTTGAAGTTTTGACCATAATGGTACATCATTAACAGATATTTCAAATGCACCCGTTGAAATTAAATATGATTCTATTGAGTTTGAGAAGAAAAATACCATTAAACATGCATACATTTTATTTTGTAATGCCCATGAATATGCTGCTGGTGTTGGAATATTAAGAAGAGTAAAAGGATTTTGACCAAAAAGAAGACACACAAGTAATGCCATTTTAACCATAGATAAAATACGAGCTATTAAAGCTTTGGTAGGTGGTGGTGGATAATTTTCACCAACAACTTCCATATTTGGGTAATGTGTTCGAACAAGTTGAGAAAATTGTTCAAACACATTTCGGTACCTTAAAAAGAAAAAACAATAAAGTTTTTTCATAAATTAAATTATAAACAAAAAAAACAATTTACCCTCAGCTATGACAAAAAAGAAATTTAATTGTTGGTATTCCTTGTTTTTTCATTTTAGGTGGTGGAATACTTGATGATTGTTCATATAATTGTTCAGACTGACTATTAAATGATGTTGAAGTAGATTCACTAGTATTGGTTTCAAGCGATGTTGAACTTAAATACGATCGTGTTAGATCATAACATGTTGATAATAGAACAAGACTCAGACCGAATAGTAGCTTTCGGTCGATCATGTTCAAGTGCGTAAAGAAGAAAAATAATACTATCTAATCTTTTCAATATAATATAATAAATAAATGACAAAAAAAAACATTTAAAATATGAACCAATCAGTTTTTAATAAGATCGCGTCAAATATACACGTTAACAAACGACATCTGCAGGATTATCAACAAATTAATTAAAAGTACTTCTGAATATACTTTTAGTTATTTTGAAAATAGATATATTGAAATACGTTTATAAAGAATTTTGTTTTATGAATCTAATAAATTAGAAGTAATAGAATTTATGAGTTCAATTATCTAGATCCCAACTGGAATCTACTTGGATACACTTCGATAAATATGACAGAAGATGATCAGTTGAAGAAATTCTGTATTACAGAATTTGTTAGATGTCTTGATGGTATTAAAAACTTGATAGTCGAATGATGACGATATATTTTACCTTTTTATATAAATCATTTTTATTGTGCATTAGTTTCATATCATAATACTTTTTTCGAATATATTATTTTAACTTGAGAATGAAATGAATGAAATACTCACCTTTCAAAAATCTTCAAGAAACAAAAGTGATCTATAGTTATTTTTAGTAAGTTTTGAAAAAATATATATAACTCAATTAGCTAATACAAAAATTCATTCAATTATGAAACATATCTATTGCATATTTTTTCTAAAAATATCATGAATTTTAAAATGTAATAAATTCATGTCATGTTTATTGATATTATTTTCTTTTTGAAAATTTATTTTTGAATAAGTATTGTAAATGATTCGAAAAAGAATTGTGATTTTTTTATTCAACTAAACTTTATAATAAGCAAGTAACTGCAATCGATTAAGTGTATAAATAATAGAGTCTCATATATACATGTATATTTACTTAGATATTTTGGTAATGGACTTTGTATACTAAAGATTTTTAACATACATTGTTCATATAGAATAACATACTTTGATTATGTCAATAAGAACAAATATTATTTCATTTTTTCCCCTTTTTTTCTTTTTTTGTATGAAAGAATTTAAAAGTTTATTAACAATTTCTTTGATTTCTTTTTTCAACCTCATTTATTAAAGAACGCAAAAAAAAATATTTTTATGAAATCAACGACAAAAAAAGGCGACATACTAATTATTGTTGAATGTGCTTGGCACCTACTTGATTTCTTTTTTCTCATTTCTTTTTTACTAGAGCTTCGATCATCTTCATTTTTAATAGAATGACAGAAATAGGTATACGATTTTCAATTACCCATGCACCATTGAAAGTCACAACAAAGACAACTGTGTTGCAAAGAAAAAGAAGAAGAAGCCCAATAATAGCAACTTCTGCTAATTTATTCAATCATCGTCAACGAAACCATCAAATACAATACACTGCTGTGTTACCGATCATTTCTTTCACACCCTTCTCTGATTTCAACGAAAGATTCATTCGCATGGCAGCATCTAAAAAATCAACAAAACAAACGACAACATCATCTACGATACCTACTGAATTTCGTCTTAAACTTCCACTATCTGATATGTCACAAACTAGACCACGCCTATTGTCTGCATATCGTCCAGCGATTTCAAATATACCAAAATCATCTCTTAGCTATCCAACAACAATTCCACATCCAGCAACACCATATCGTTCGAATTATTATCATCAACAACAACAACAAGGTGAACGGTTATTATATGTTGTTAAAGCATCTGCAACACCTCGTCGAGCTGCTTCAGCTCGAATACCTAATAGTAGTTTCAATGCGTTGCCACTTCATCAACAACCACATTTATTAACATCACCACTTTTACCACGCCCACATCCCCAATATGGTCATTTTCTTGCATATCTTCGCCGACAATCATTAGCTCGTATACGTCGTAAACAAGAACAAGAAGCAGGAAATACAGATAATATTGAATCAACAATAAAATTTAATCCAAACAAACCAATTTCACAAACATTTCAATCAACATCTCATGCATCTCTTAGTATATCAACACCAGAAATATCATCAATGCCAACAATGTCTTTAACATCAAAACGACGAACACGACCATTATCATCTTATCAACAAACTCGACGTCCATCATCATCAATACAAACAAATTATCGTTTAACTCTAAATCAATCACCATCATTAAGACAACCACCACCACCATCATCACCAGTACAACAAACACCAACAAAATCGACGTCAAATGAACAATTACAATTACCAACATCAGCCGTTCTTACACCAACAAATTCAATTGTTGATGAAACAACTAAATTACCAACAATAAAAGCTCCCTATGAATTACAATTAAGTGGTGATATGCTTAACTATTGCTATGTTAGTGATAGTGGAGTTAAATATCAAGGACAATTACTTTCTACGCCTGTTTAATCAAGATTTTTTATGTTTGGTTATTGTATTTAAAACAAAAAAAAAAAATTTTTATCTGAAAATTTTCGAAATTAAAGACGGTTTTGAGGATGAACGTTTAGTATTTGGTGTTGTAGCTGCAGGTATATTGTTTGTTGTTGCTGTTGTCGTTGGTGAGCCTACTTTCATTGGAGATGAAAATAGTAAATTTGCTGTTGATGATGAATTCATTGATATTTGTGAATCTGGTTTAATTAATTTTGTTGGTTTTTGTATCAAATTGACTGGTATTGGTGGTGGTACGGGAATATTTGATAATTTTTCTGTTTCATTTGATATTGTAAAATGAATTGATGAATTTGATGATGACGATGATGATGGAGAAGGAAAATGAATAATTGAATGCATTGGTATTGTTGATGGTTCTTCATCAATTGAATTTGATGCAACAACACGTTCACGTTCTTTTCGTACTTCACGTACAGTTCGATGAAATAATTGTTGTACATATTCATAATCATCAGCTGCTGTTGTTTCACAAAAAGCACAACTATATTTAGCAGCTACAGCTTCACCTTCACATTTTGGAATTACTCTAAATAATAAGATTTACTTCTTTTTCTTTTTTCTTCTTTAAATATAATTATGAATAATTATTTACCTTAGACGTTCTAAATCAAGTTTATTACCAAGTAACATAAGAACAAGTTCATTTGTTGATACCGTTAAACTTTTTGAATAACTTGTTATTGCATCTAAATAAGCAAGAGCCATGTCAAAACTATCTTGTTGAGTTATACTATAAGTTATTAATACTGCATCTGCCCATTTTAAATAATATGGTAAACGTTTATTATCCTTAAATTTAAAAGAAAAAATAAAAAAATTTCAAATTATTTTTTTTAATTCTTTACTTTTCCATAGGTATCCATGACCTTGACTAGTACTTCTTGTTGATCAACAACATCTGGTTTCCAATAAGTATCTTCTATAATAACGAAAAAAAAATTCATTTCATTTTATTTTATTATTAAACAGTTACAGATAGAGAAACACTCACCAAGAAATGGATCATATTCACAAATGAAACGTTTTGTTAAATATTTAACAACTAATGCTGATTTGCCAACACTTTGTTTTCCAAGTAAAACAACATTAACTTCTTCTTTTGGCAGACTAGCTGTTGATTGATGAGTTTTAATCGAACTACTTATTGATTTATATTTACTCATGCTGTTTTTTTTTAATACTAAAAATATATGTATATCAATAGTTGATTCTATGATTCTTTTTCTTTGATCATGATTTATTGATAAAAATGTCTATATTCACCTTCTGTATCAATGACAGTATAGAAGAACAAAAGGGCAATAAAATGCAGACTGGTACGCTTCTTTTCTAGTTCTATCACTACAGTACATATAACAAAAGTCAGAACAGAGAGGGAAGAAAATAGTGCGCGCAAGATACAAAAAAAAAATGTAGAGAAAAGGCGGTGTGTATGTATGCATAGTAGTAGTGGTACCATCTTCATAATGCAGATGTTTAGTGTACATCGAAGAGCAAAGAAAAATCGATCATTAAGAACAGAAGAAAGCGTATAGAACATTCTGTAATATAGGAGGCGCATCACGCCTAAGCTATGACAAGTTTCAGCAGAATCTTGCTCAATCGATATCACCGATGTGGCTGATTTTTGTATAGTAAGTAAATATATTTATATTAGGAATAAACTCAAGCGGATGAATCAATCTGGAACTATACACATTACAATCACTCTGCTTCATTTCGTGTACTTTCCAATGCAGTAATTTTTTTAGTAAATCTTTATTTTGTAAAGAACGACAAAATTGATAATAGAGAGTTGTTTACCATAGACATTATGGGCCCTGAGGTATCTTATCATTGTAACACAAATGCATCATCGTCTGATTTTATATGCTATCTCCAGAGAACACAACCACGTGAGTAAGGCAAATGAGTAGAATGAGCCATTTCGAGATTAATTTCATTTGAAAGAACACATCAGAATCCATTGAATAAAGTTTTCAAAAGTTTGTAAGATTGAACTTCGATATACAAAATATCAAGAGGCCTTAGTGAATCATACTATTCGAATTATGAAGTTCCGTCATTTATTGTGAAATGTTTGATTTACGTGGTTTAGACGAAAGTGTATGTCAAAAAACACTCCAATTCGAAATTTTAACTCGTTTGAACACGTGCATGAAAAATATTCAACGCCCTTAGCTTTTCACATGTTCATAGTTCAGTAAAAGAACCAGCAAAAGATCTGAAATTTCCACCATAAACTATTCTAATTGATCTTTATGCTCTAATTCATAATTTGAAATTCAATTTTCTTAATGTTCCTAAATGAAATTACGACTATGTTCAAAAATCAATTCTTAAAAAGTCGTTCTCTTGATAGAAATTAATTAAAATTAAGAATCTTTTTGATGGTTGTCATAGTTCATTAAAAATTACGTGGAGCACACAGTTCTTATTAAAACATAATTTGTCATCTAAAGGAAATTTCCTGTGAAAAAAATTAGATGAATCAAATAATTTTTTAAAAGTTTAATAAATTAAATCTTTCGCTAGTTTTTACACAGATTTTTAAATGACTTGCAGTTTTGAATTGAAATATTTTTTTTGAGTATTGACTTTCATCTAAATCACATAGATCAAACATTTCAGAATAAGTGATCGCACTTCATAGTTTGACTTGTATGACTCATGGAGTCTTTAGGCTTTTCTGCAAAAACTTTTGAAAGCGTTATTCGATCAACTTCCTTAATTCACATTGTCATATTCTCCGAAGGCAGCATATAATATTAGACGATAAAGTATTTTTATTACCATGATAAGATACCTCAGAGTCCATAGTATCTATGGTCAACAACTCTGTTTTATAACTGATGTCATTGTTTAGAAAATAAAAATTTACTGAAAATTATTCCGCTGCATAATATTCCCAATGGAGCAGAATAAATATACTTGCCATATCTATATCTCTAGAGTGATTAATTCGTTCCAGTTTATTTCTAACTTGAATGTATTTATCTACTATAAAAATATCAGCCAAATTGATCATGCTGATTGAGCAACATTGGTCATGACTTGAATGCAATGCTCGATAGACAATACAAAGAAAAATTATTTTTTTATTTATTTATCGGACAATTTTTTGTAAAATCATATTCCCAACATCGATAACCATAGACTCTATTATCGATTTGATCAATGTTTTTAAAATAATCAGATTGAATCCATGCTGAACGACAATGACATTTGAATAAAATATTTGTTGGATTAATGTCAAGTAATGATGATGGATTTGATTCAAGAAAAGGTTGAAAAACATTTTCATCTAAATATGTTATATTTGTATGATAAAAACGTATAAATACAAAACGATTTCGAAAACGACTTAATGATGTTAATTCAAAACTAGTTGAATTTAACATTTCACCACCAAGATATATTTCTAACATATTTGATATACTATTATTTAATATGGATCGTTTTCGTTGAGCTAATGCATATTTACTTATTTTTGTTAAATTAGGTGAAAATATACGTAAAAATTGTAAATTTGGTAAATTATAAAAAGCATAATCACCAATTGTTTCAATTGGTTGACTTTTATTTGAATCTTCAAGACCAAACCATATATAAGCTAAATATGTATGATTAAATGCATAATTTGGTATGAATTTTAAACGATCATTATGCATAGTAAGACGACGTAAATATTGAAATTGTTGTATTATTGAAAATATAGTATCACTATCAGATAAATTTGTATTTAATGTTTCAAATACTTCAACACTATTTTTAAAATAAGAAAATGCATTTCTATCAATTGTTGTCAATTGAAAATTATCTTGAAAAATTAAAATTTTAAATGTTATATTAATAAAAACATTTTCAGGTAAATGTTTTATCGTTGTATTATATAAAAGAAAACTATCGAAATGCATTGCATTTTTATCTTCACTAGATATTATATTATTAAATGAAGTAAGTTTTAAAAATATTGATCGTATATCAAACGATGAATTGTGTATATGCTCACATACAATTGACTTTTTTTGTGTAGTAATTGTTTCAAGATTTTTATCATTAAATAATAGATAAGTATGAGATGGTATAACAGATTTACATGAACATGGTTTTGTTACAAAATTCGGTGGGCATTCACAATTAATTAAATGAATGTATTGATTGAAGAAAACAATGATAAATAAATAAAGAACCTTACGAAACATAATGTATCGATCAATGAATGTTAAAATAACTCAAGAGGACTACTAAAAGTAAATGTTAAAATAAAACTTGAGGTAATTGTTTGGATTCGTTATAGAGAAAGAAAATGAATAATGCTCTTGACATTATAACAATCAGTATGATCAACTTTGAAAAAACAACATAACATTGTTTTTTGACATAAAACAAAAATGGTTTCTTTTTGCACGGATTAAATGTTCTAATATGAACTTGAACTTTATTTATTCAAAGTATGGGGATGCATAAGAAGTTAGTGAATTCTATTTAACAAGGATTCTTATCTTTCAACAAATATTTTAGTTTAAAAATTGGAATGACCAACAACTTTGGTATTACTCATTTGATAGGTCTTTCAAAAAGCTACAAAATCATATATTTTCGAAGGTCGAAAACATCTGGCCACTCAAAAAATTCTATATCACGCTGTTGTTCAGGCACAGTTTTGTGTCTTTTTAATAAATATTTAGAAGATTTGAGTCAAAACTAATGTAATATTCAGAGTCAGCATAAAAAAGTCAGTTGGTTTATGTGCAATTTAAAGAATATTTGGATATTTTTTTCGTGGAAAAATTCACTGGTAATCCCCCTCAGGAATCGGACGAAAACTGAATTCTATCAAACCATCATCTGGATGTTATAAAGAAACTTCAAAAGTTGTTTAAAGTTATTAGACGGAAAAATAGCAGATATTTAGGAAACAAAAGCAGAGCTTTCATTGAGTTCATTTTTGGTCCGATCCCTGGGGAGACGACACACCATTGGTGAATTTTTCGACGAAGAATAAAAGTTCTAGAAAATCGCTAAATCACACATAGACCAACTCACTTTTTTATGTTGATTTCGAATATCATACTATTTTTGACTCAAATTGAACTTTTTCTTATTAAACTCCTCTAAATATTTATTAAAAAAAGAAATAAAACTGCACCTGGGCAAAAAGTTTTGTTAAAGAATTTTTTAACTTTGGATGAAAAAGGCCTATCAAATTAGCAGTAGCAAAGCTGTTGGTCATTTCAATTTTTAAATTACAACATCTGTTGAAATATAAGAGTCATTGTTAAATAGAATTCATCGTGATAGAAGGAATTATTTAGATAATGGTAAAAAATACGTTTCTTTCTTGATAACTTTTAGGCTTCAAACTTCGCCTAAAACTTTATGAAGTTAGTAGTAAAATGTTAGTCGCAACATGCTGCTTCCGTTGATATATATAATTAAATCGAGTTGGTCAAGAAAAATACTAGTGAACCGATGTAACCTCTTATGCGCTCTGTCCTTTGGATATAGTTTAGCCTTGATGATCATAATAAACAATTTCAAATGAAACTTTGTCAATTTATATAATTTAATTCATAACTGCTAATTGTTCGATACTCTCATTCTTTGTTGTATTAAATAATCGGTTTAACATGAATCAATCTTAGAAGCTGATGTTGTTATAAATAATGGCCTATTTGTGATACTAAAATTGTCTATAGGCAACTCTATAAAAGTAAAATAATTATGTGTTGACATAGTATGTATATTATAATTAATACAGGCACCCATAAAGACTGTAATAGAAAATAATAACTGTCGAGAAGGCTCATTCATCGATTTAAATAGAGCAGACAAATAGATTTTTCCTGTATGTTGGTTTATTATGTTTTAGTTTTTGATCAAATACTGTGAATAAAGAATTAGTTTTCTGTCTCAATTCTTGTAAAGATTGATTTGAATGGATTTATACTATAAATTAACCGTTTTTGATTGGATGATTTTTTTTCTTAATTAGAAAAAGAAATTCAATTCACAAGAATCTCTTCATTGCAGGTAAGTGTTATTGAGAAATAAAACTCATGGAGTTCAAAAAAGAGAAAAATCATAACTTTCATAATTTTTCTATCAAAAGACACAGACAAAAAAGGACATTTCAAATGATAAAACAGACAATGAAAAATTGATGTATTTTTAATTTCATCAATAACAACAGACATTATAATCAGGCAAATGTAATGAACATAATTTTTAATCCAAATCTTGTTATTAAATTCATGGAAGTGTTTGTTTTAATGAATGAAATTGAAATACAGCAATTTGAATGTCCATTTTCATCATTTGAATGCATATGTTTTTCCTTGATTTTTTTAACATCTAAAAACACATTAATTTCATAAAACATAATGTTTTATTAAAAATTAACAAAAGTTATTTATTGTTCATTTTTGGATTGATAAATTCATTGAATTCAAATAAACAATAACAATTGAAAGAATTCTCTTCTAAGATAAACTAAAAACCTTATATTGTCACTCACACTTGTATGCACTGATTCTTATATATCAGCTTGTACGAGCGTAACGCGATGACGTTTTGGCCACAGTTTTATTAACTTTTCTCAGCAATCAGATTGCCCAGAAAGTTTGTTATTTCGTTGTAAGATGTATCTCTGCCCTCTGCAAAACTCCTGAAAATATGAGCTCATTTGAGCGAGCCGTTTGGAGATTATAGTAAAAATATATGGCTTAACGCGATGACGAAAAAAGGACAAAAAACCGAGGGTCACCTGATTGTTCTTTATTTCTCTGCGAATGTATGCTAGGTTCAAAGAAACGTTCTATGAACGTTTTGTAGCCAACAGTTTGAGGTATCCAACGGAGAAAAAAAATTCTTCGAACAGGCTTCCTTTTTTGAACAGAAATCAGTTTTATTAACGTAACGCGATGACGATGACTTTTGTAACGATCTTTTTTATGATTCGTTTTGTTATATGTCACCTCTGTGAAGACAAGATATTATTTTTATTTTACCGCTCAGAGGCTGCAAATGTTAATTGTTGTGTTTATTGATTCGTCTAATATAAAAAAAAATAGTAAAAAAATAAATTAGTTTGACTAGTATGTATAGCAATGTCTATGTAAGGTAAAAAAAACTCGAAATTTCAGTTAATATTTTTTCTCAATGATTTATACATGGTTAGNACCCATGACAGTAGAAATGAAGTAAATTCATTTAATTGTTTCTTTATTTAAAATAATTGATTCGTTATTAGATTTAGTCTTCTATTGTTAAATCAATTTGCACCTGGTCTCAGTGCTGCTACATTCAGTCTAATATTTATTCTAGTTCTTGAATTAACATCATCATCGCAATCAAGTTTAGTTGGAAATGTTGTACTTGTTTCATTTACAATAGGTGAATGTATTGTTACTTTATTTGCTTATTTAGCAAAAGATTGGCAAATACTTAAATGGGCTGATACAGCTTTTATTGGTTTAGTTATATCCTATCTTTATTTCATTCCTGAATCGCCATTGTATATCTATTCTAAACGACAATATGTTCAACTTGAAACACTTTTATGACGAATAGCAACTTCAAATAAACGAAAAGAATAAGATTGGTATCCTGTTTATCAAGAATTTTTATCAAATCAATTAACTACGTCATTACACTTTAATGAATTAACTTCTTTTCAAAAAGCTCATCGAATCCTTACACATCGAGTAACTTTTGTTAAATTATTAACTACTGCTTTACTTGGTTTTACGATAGTTGTGCTTTATATAAAGATAAGTTATGGTTTAGCTGTAATGAGTATATCACCATATCTAGGAAAACTAATTGGTGCTGCTGTTGAAGCAGCTGGATATATGCAGGTTCTTTACTTATATCAACAAGACTTGCTCGGAAAGGTTCATTTATTCTTATGGCAATTCTAACAATTATTTCTGTTGTTCTTATACCAATTATTTTGAAACATAGTTCAATTGCAACTGTATTTATTGCACAATTTGGAAAATTTGCCGTATCAAGTGCAATCGCTGTATCATAGATATATGTACTTGAGCTTTTTTCAACATCAATTCGAAGTATTGCCAATGAATTTTTTGTTGCATTTAGTAGCATCGCTGATATTGTTGTACCAATCATTAATGCATCTGCTAATAATGAATATCTACCTTATACATTTTGTGCATCGACAGGTTTAACTGTTATTGTTCTTTTGTTAAAATTAGTCCTACCGGAAGCAAAATATAAACAATTGAATGAAGAAGAAGATTATAAAACGAATCAAAATAGTGTTGCTTAATAATTCTTTCTGGTTTTCTTTTCATACATAAACGGTTTCACACACACAATAAAAGAGGGAAAGAAAACAAGTACACGCATGCTTTTATGACAGAAGAAAAAAAAACAATAATACTACATCCAACCATTTAGATGTAGCTGAGAAAGCGCAGAGAGAAAAAAACATACACAAACAAACAAAAGATCTGACTAGAAGAACACAAAACACATACACTGAGATCCAATTCACCGTTGTTTTCTTTTTCAAATAAATAATAAGGCTTCTTTTTCAAAACATGCACAAAGAGAAACCGAAGAAAGATATTTTCTTTTTGTTCATAGTTATATATATATATATATTATTTCTACTTTTCTTTTGCTTTATCAGGACCAATCACTGTCGCTATAGTTCGAGAGAAAAAAAAATAAAGAAAAAGACCAAAACGGAAAACAAAGGATATAGATATATACATTAAAATTTGAAAGAAAAAAATAAATGTTGCAATCACTTGTTCAAATCAAGATTTCGGCTTCGTTTTGAATTTGTCGGTCGTGTTATATTGTTCTTTATACGACGATGATCATTACGATGAGCACGATATGCTCGTTCACTTGTAAATGTCTAATTGAAAGAGGAAAAACAAATTAAAGATAACAAACTGCCATCACAATCCATGTGGAATTAACATGTGAAACACATTGTAGCTGTTCTTACTAATTATAGAGAGATTATTATATTCTATCTATTTTAGGACATATTATTTATCATCCTTTTACTTAATTCCCTAGAAATGCAATAAGGAAGTAGTTCAAGCATTAGAATTAGACGTTATTGATACACGATCTATGATAGCTCCTGGCTTGCATCTGTCATGGTCTCTGTCTAACGTCTGCTATAATCTCTGACTAGAGTCTGTCATGGTTTCTGATTTGCGTCTGCCATAGTCTGTAAAGAAAATGAGGTCTGAATTTCTATTCTATACATTTCAACACTCATTTTAGATTGTGTTTCATAAAAAACAAAAATACTCCTTACCTGTAAGCAATTGTCAATATCACAGCAAAAATGAGCTATTGAAGAATTATCACTATTCACTGTTACACCATCATTATCCTAAATAGATTTTCGTTTAAATAAATCAACTTCTTTTGTTTCCTTTTTTCGAATAACTTACGAGACGAAATTCATTCAATGATAATGATGTTTCATCATCAAGTGCTTGTTTTTGTAATTGTTGTTTATGCTTTAGCATTTGTAATCGTTTTCGTTTTGCTGTTAATAAATTCATTCCTGTTTCTCGAGCTATGATATTTACTTTTGGCATATAATGAAACTCAATACATTGTTTTACACTTTTGGTTCCAACCTTTAATAAATAATTTTAAATGAAATCCTTTTTTTGTGATTCTGAAAGATTAAAAAAAAGAAACATACTGCTCGACTAACAAGTGGAAAATTTTTTTCTAATGTTTCCATTGCTTTTGTAAATGCATCAATTTCTTGTTTAGTCCATATATCACATTCAGGAAAATGATATCGATGTAATGGTCGACATTGTTTTATATTTTGAGCTGTACCATCAAGTAAAGCAGCTAACGTACGTTGTAAATCACCATTATATTCATGTAATAACATATATACCACTTCTATTGGATATAATGTTGGAGAATGACGTGGAGAAAATAACAAAGGATTTGTTCGACTTAATTGTTCATATTTTTCAAGTGATTGTTCATCAAGATATGGAAGTTGAGATGGAGAAAATAATAACTCATCATGATCTGTGAAAAATAAGAAAACAAAAAAAATATATATTGATATATGATTAGTATTTCATAGTTAAAATGAAAGAATGTACCTAGATAATAATCCACATCTAATCTAGACTGAATATTTCATGCTAATCTTTATAAGTATTCATGAGAAAAGTCCCACTATTGATAAATTGGTTTTGAATTGATGTCATATAGACTCCAATGACCTATGAATATTTTTTAAATAGTTCGTGCTCTTAGCATGTTGCTTGCGAGAATGCTGTACTTTTCTGATAGGTTTTAAATGAATGCTGCGGTAAACGAAAAACTGATTTTTAAATTTTGATTGGAAACTTTGCATAGAGACAGACTTTAACAGGAATAGTATAGTGTGAAAGTTTCAGGTTTGTTGATTTTCTCCCATCCTGAAATATAAACAACATGTCTACCGGTTTATAAGAATGATATATTCGTGTTAAGACTTGTTTCTATGCATAGTTTAAAATCGAAAAGTCAAAATCAGTTTTTTTCAATTACGACAGAATTCATTGAAAATTACCATAAAAGTGCAGTGTATCCGCAGCAATAAACTGTGGGTATGAAGTCTTTTCAAGGTATTCATAGTTCATTTGGATCTACATATTGCACAAAGTTTTGATTCAAAAACGATGTATCAGTTGAAAGATTTCCTTCGTAAATCATTGTTTAAAATATATTGTCTAGAGTATTTTGGAAAAAGTAAAAATGCTTTTCTATTGAGAACATACCGCTATTATAGTGTTTAGGACAATGGATAATATCGACCCCCATGAATTCTTTTTGCAAGAGTTTTGAATAAAATAACAAAATACAATAATACAATAAATTGATTTTATCCTGTGAAAATGTTCATCATCATAAATCAATTCATTTGATTCCTACAATACTTCTCATGCATCTTTTTTAGTTGCCCTCTTTAAAAATAATGCAAATTGAGAAAATGCATGAGAAGATCGGTTGAAGTTTGATCTTTCATAAACAACTTTATTTTTTATTTAGTACGTCGCTTTCTCCAAAACTTTTAGATAATTTCCGTCATTTTCTGCTTGAAAAATATGTTTTGTATCAGAAACAAAAGCGAGATATGTTTTCCACTTTTTTGATCAGACAACTCAGAATTTCGTATGAGCCTTCATTCTATATATGTAATCTTCTTTGTCTTTTGTTGGAAAGAGCATGTCAAGATGCACAACATGATAAAGTTCTTTTTTGAATTAATCTATATTAATATGCTATAATTGAGTACTCTTAAAGTCAGAACGTCATTCTTCTAGACATTGAACTTTTCTCATCTTAAAATGTCATAATTAATAAGAGTGCTCTGCAATGTCTCACATCTTGACAAAGTCTCTCAAACAAAAGGAAAATTAAGTATATAGAATGAAGGCTCACAGGAAATTTTTGGTTTGTCGAATGGCCTTTGTTTGTTGAATATTTCTGGAAAACATCATTCTGATCCAAGATCGATTTTTGAGGCAAAGACTTAAGACAAAAATTGAAATAAAATTAGATAAACATCCGTGTGACGGTGAAAACGAAATTTTACATAGAAAAAAAAAAAACCATTTTCTTATCTTAAGTTACAAACCTGTATCATCATTGTCAATTTTCATTTGAAGTTTTGGAATAATAGCTTGATAATCATTTCCGATATTAATTTTAGGTCCTGATATTTCATCAGGTATTGGTGTAAATGGTAGAACAGGTGTTGCTACAGTCGATGTTTGTTGTGCAACTGGTGTTGTTTGAGCGAAAACATGATAATAAAGACCTGGACCTTTTCGAAATGGACTAAGCATTGGCGGTGGTGTATAAGGTGTTGTTGGAAGTGGATTTGGTGTTTGGCTACCTATATTAAGATTTTGAGGACGACGAAATTGTGAAATTTGTGATGGCCATTGAAATGAACTACTATTAGAATTGTTATTATTATTATTATTATTATCGGATGTTTTGGATGGAATCATCGTTGAAGAAATATTTTCATAATTAAAATGTGTATTAGTTGATGATGTTGATGTTGATGAATTTGTAACAGTTGATGATGATGATGGTGATGTAATAAGAAAGCCTGATGTTGATTTTTTTGTTGTTATATCGATTGTTAAATTATTATTATCAGAAATTGTTTTAAGTATTAATGATGATGTTGGATCTTCTGAAGAATTTTCAGTATTTATTTGTTGTTTATCTTGATCATTATTTTGTTCCATAAAAGGTGAACAGTCTGGTATTATTTGATTATTTTGTTGTTCATCTTGTGCTTCTTGTTTTAATGCATTTAAAATACGTTTTTTTAGTACAGCATGTGATGATGTTGAATTTGCAAGTGGTGATGATTGTCTACTGTTAATTATTGATGAATTATTTGTATTATTATTAGTATTATTATTATTATTATTATTATTATTGCACATATCATTAGATGATGATGGTGAACAGTGACTAGTATTTATATTTGAATAAGGGGATGTAACCGGAGTATTTATAAGTGATGAAGTAGGATTAGATACTAGAAGAAAAAAAAAACATTTATACATAGAGAAATACAGGACCCTATCGGATACGATGACTATCCTTCATTTGAAAAGCCACCTATACCGTTTGTGTAAAACAACTCGTGTAGCATCAAATAGTATGTAAAACATTGTTATTTCACGAAGTTTTAATGTTCTAATATTTGATGATATCACCCACAATTACTATAATATCCCGTAATAGGCATATGGCTTCTCGGCACATTAAAACTTCAAGAAAATACAATTTTTAATATGTAATTCGATGCGGCACGAGTTACTCTAGAAAACAAGCTCTTCAAAAAGGTGGTCATCGTATCCGACAGGGTCATTTTTGTTTTTGTTTTCTTACTTCTATCACCGGGTGAATGAACAATATGTGGTGACGGTGAATGATATAATTGTGCTGTATATGGACTTGTAGATGGTGTATAACGATTAGATTCATCGGATGTTGAATGATGTTGATTGAAAATTTCTGTACGTGGTAGATAAATATCCTTATTGAATAAATCATTTGTATGACAAAAAAATTGATGAAAAATATTTGGAGCTATGGTTGAAGTTGAACGTGGAGGCATGGAAAATTGAGGAAAATTTCCTGGATGTTGATTAGTTGTTGATCGAAAATATGGATGATGTTGAGGATGGTTTGATTGTGAAAGACCATTTATCTAATTTATGTGTAAAAAAAAAAGATTAAGATTTTGATACAGGATACATTTCTTGATGTGAATGAATGAAATCTTAATTTCTGTTTTAATCTTAACAAATTCTTGGATAATAATAAGAATTTATTTTCAATTCGATTAAGTTTCGTCTTTGATTTATAGTATGCTACATATTCTGGTAAAAACAGAATTTTGCAAATTGAAAAACTGCAGTTGAGGTGAGTCTTACTACAGTAGGTAGGCACTTTTGAAGCTAGAGAAAGTTCAAAAAAATTCATGAATATACGGCTTTCGCCTTGAGTAGAGATATGCGGAACTGAATAAATCATCCATTCCAACATAATTCGAGAGATATGATGAAAAAAGTACGAGTCATTAATTAAACAAATCGAAAAACAAGTATTAAAGAACCTTTTTAGATGTAACACGAACAAGTTTTGAAAAAATTTTTTTGTAGACCGAAACCAAAAACAAATTTCTCCCGCAAATCTTTAACCTTATGTTAGAACCAATTAAGTGAATTTTCCAACAGAATGCCATGTTTCATCTCAGATCATCATTAAAATCAACTATCGAGTTCTAATTTTCTACGAATAAAGTTTATAATGAGACCAGACTTTTGTGAAAGTGACGGATTTTCTAGTGTGTTTTATCACAAGATAGAAAGTATGAAAATAAAGTTGGTTTTTTCGCACTACGATATTTTCAATATTGATATTTGGTGATAAAAAAATACTAGAATATCTGATACTTTCACGAAAAAGATTAGTGTCACTGAGAAATTCCTTTGTCCAAAGTTAGGACTCAAGAGTAAGAAAGATAATCTCAAAAGAACTATGACATTTTATGGAAAAACTAACTAAAATAATTATATCTGAAAGAGAAAGATCCATAGATAGGAATCCTTTTAGGCTCCGTCTAGTTTCAGCAGAACGTATCTAATGAGATAAGACTCATCTGAAAGGTGGTTGATCATCTGGTGAATTTCTTTCATAAGCATACTGATGAAACTATGGCTTAAACTTCAGTCAAAACAAGACACTGGATCATTTTATCATTCGATCTAAATTTATTGTTTTAGCTTAGGAGCTCTCTTGTACTTGACTCCATTACGTTAAAAAATTTATTATAAAGATATTTCTTTTTTTATTGATGATGGTTTCTAGTTGTAACAACTTTGTTTCTATTATGTTTTTAGCGAAGAATAATAACATCAGACAATTATACATATTAACCAGAACTACGTTCGACATCAAACTATTATTATTTAGTAATAGTGGAAGTAGACTTTTTAGAAGATGTCGTTGTTACATACGACATTCATATTGTCCTTGTTCTACTATTATTATTAGCGAATTATTTCAATAAAGATTTTGTTTTTCTATGAAAATAATAATTGGCTGCTATTCTCAGTGACAATATTTTTTAAAGGCAAAAAGACTTTTCTGAGTCAAAAAATTGCTCTTGGTAATTATAGATGCCACTGTAAAGACATGACAATGCTCCGGTGGTCTTTTAGGTTAATTTCGATTTTTTGGGTTGGGGATATCATTTCAAGAACATTGCTGGATTTCATAGAAAGAAAAGTTGTTAGCGCAATTCCTGAGAGAATAAAACGTGAAACACGAATGGAGATGCGAACACTATAAAAAAGAGGAGATTAATCATTACATGTTTCGGTTGATAAATTCTTACCTAAGGTTAGTGCATGTCGATGGTAAAAGATATTAATCGCAATATATGGCTGGAAGTGTGAAGGAAGAATAATGAATAACTATCAAAAATAATCCCAAAGTGAACTTCGATATTGTGGCTATGTCTATCACATCTGTTGTAAGCTGTTTTTAACGCATTTGTCATGTCTCTAATGAGTCGTTGCTAAGCTGTCTACCACGTCTGTGACAAGGAGGGAAGTAGCAAGGGATGGTTTAAATTTCTATTCTTATACTTCAACACTTCCTTTAGACCGTGTTTCATAATAGACTTAAGGTGTGCGGAGGTCTGAAATTCAAATCTAGAGAAAGTTTGTCGAAATTCTCGAGTTCGGTTTTTTCGTTTGAGAAAGACATAGTTTCTACAATTTACTCATGTTTTATACAATTCAAATATTATTCTGAAATAGACTTCCCTCGGTTGAAAAGAATCTAAGATAACTATCTTCGCCGTTATTCTATATGTACATGCCTAGGCTACTGCAGCGCTCTACTGAAGATTGGTGCACTAGTTTACGGTGGTACCAGTGATCTGTGTCCCGAAATTTCTTTAATAAGACTTTTGCCAATAGCGAATGTCTTATTTGATGAAATTCCGCCCACTTCGATGATCATCGTCACCATTGTATTTCTATCCATAGTACATTAATATTTATTTGAAATAATAATAAGAATATTTACCTGTCTATCATGATGGTAATATTTTAAAGTTTCATCAGCTGATAAAGTTTTTCTAAATTTATCATCATGAGATTGAAATGTTGTTACATTTGGAAACATTTCTGAATTTGCAAAAGGATCAAATCTCAATATTCCATTTGGTATATTTAATGAATTATTGGCACTATTTGGCATATGAATTCTATTATGAATTGTTTCATCATTTGCATGTATATCAAATCCATAATGATGATTATTATTTTTATCATATAAATATAATGGTAATGGAATTTGTTTTCGATTTTGTTTTGGAATATTTGTTATTGGTTGTACACTCATCGGATTTTTAATATTATATTGTATTAATGGAGTTGTTTCATGTTGAATAACAGATGATGATATTGAACGTGTACGTGATGATGGTATTCGATCATAAGAACGATGATGTAATACATCGGAACATGGTGGTAATGTTGGATACATTGTCTGTTGATAAAGATTATTAGTTGTATTTGATGTTGATGGCATCATAATAATATCTTCTTCTTCATTTTTAATGGGCATTATACATTGAAATAATGATTGTGTATTTGAATCATTGGATGATGAAGGAGAATTCAGTCGTTTACGTTTTGTTGAACGACGTTCATTACTTATTGGTTGTGTTAAACGCTTTTTTTTCGGTATATTTTCTGTTGCTGGTGGTGGTGGTGTTTGTTTCTTAAAAGAAAATTAATTTATTTTAAAAAAAGCAAAAAGAAAATTATATATTTATATACATCATTAAATCCACCATGTAAACGCATATGACCATTAAGTGCTGCACCATTTTTAAAACTTTTTTTACAAATATGACATTCAACACATTTTTCTTCATCAAATCTAAATAAATCAAAAAGAAAAAAAGATCATTTATTAAATAGATAATCTAATAAATTAACATACGTATATGTTGGCATTAGTTTTTGTCCATTTGTTGATCGAATTTGTTGATTCATATGATATGTTTGTTCATTATCAATTGATGATGAACGAGGTGAATTATGATCAATTGAATCATTTGAAAAATCACTACTTAAATCTTTTGTTTTAACACATGCTGTTTCCGGTAAAAAATGTTTATATTCATCATGTCCACCTTGATGTATAGCAGCTAAAATATTTTGATGAGCATTTTCAATATGTCGTTTTAATGATCGAGCATCACAATAAGTTCGATTACAATCTGGTACACGACATTTATGTGGTTTTTCTTCTTCATGTGTTAACATATGACCATGGCTTTAAAAGAGCAAAAAAAAACAAAGCAGTAAGAAAATTAATTATAATTTCTAATTTTTTTACTCTTGAGATTTAAAGCAAAATAAAGAACAGAATAATCTCATAAGGGTATATATTATATCAACTTTGATAATTATTTAAAATAGATTAATAATAGATATGCATTAGAAAAAAGAATTAGATAAAAGGGCAAATCTAACACAATAGATGATGATGATGATGAAAAAAATAATTGTAGATTAAAAATTTATCGACTTAAGACATTTCCCACTCAAAAATGAAAATATACTTAAAATAGCCCAAGATCTGATCTTTCATAAATAGTATAGGTCTTTTGGTTTTTTATTCAACGGCTCCTTTTTTTCTGCAAGAGTTTTTGATGATGTCTACAATTATCTGGGTTGAAAAATAGTCTTTTTTAAGAAGAAACGGGAAATGTTTTTCAGACTTTTCATCGTGCCATCTACAATTCTCGTTGGGTCTTTATTCCATATAGTTATTTTTTTGTTTGCTTGAAAGAACATGTCAAGATGTAGAACATGACAGAGTTTATTTTTTGAATAAAGCTTTCCTACAATTATATGAGACAACTTTTATAATTAGAATGCACTTTTTTCGCGACATTAAGTTTTACTTCACTTAAGAAGAATTTTGAAAAAAACGGCTTTGTCATGCTCTGTTAAGCGAAAAAAAAACACTAAATATACAAAATGAAAGCTCATAGAAAATTTTGGTTTATTGAATATCTTTCTGAAAATTTCATATGATTTGAATATTTCTGACTGTTACTGATGTTGAATAAAGCATGTCAAATTACATTTTTTCAATTTTTCGAAGCAAGTTTTTCCTGAATATATTGAAAGAAAGATTTAATTCTAAATATCATGATCAGAGTTGACCATTGTCAAAGATATATAAATATTCTTTTTCACTGTGTAGAAAATTAAAAAGTTTATTTCGTGATTCTATAGGCAAATTTGACCAAAAAGAATTATGTACATAACTTTGTTTTAGTCAATTTTGTTTGCAGAATCACGAAATAAACTTTAAAATATTCTACAAAGTGAAAAAGAATATTTACATATCTGTGATTATTTAGAATTTAGTCTTTTTTTCCAATATTTCTATGAAAAACTTGTTTCGAAAAATCAGGAAAGTAATTTTTCATATGTAATTCGACGTGTTCTATCCAACAACACCGAATAAACAGAAAACGAAACTTTTCTAAAATTTTAAATTTTAGGCACCTCACAACTATTTACTTTATTGAATTAACTCAAAATAATAACTAGATTGTGTACATTTAAAAAAAAAGAATAAAATAATCAAAATTTCAATGTGTTCTCAGACTGATGAAGTAAATAGTGCTTCATGAAATGTAGTACAGAAGCCATTAAAAGTGATGAAATTGATTTTTATTCTTGAATATATGATAGTTTCATATGAATTATTCAAACTAGTTAACTTCGAAAATTTCTTGACTATGTCGTAGACTCAGTTCATTGAACATCTTTTTTCATATATAGATAGAATTAGGTGAAAATTTGGATTCGAAAGATTCAAGTGCCATTTTACATTCTTCATAATTAAGACTTTTATGAAATATTTTACAATCAATTATGTAGTACCAAAATATCTTAATTGAACTAATTTATTTATTTAAATATTAACTTACAGATGATCAAGTCGTTTGAAACCTTTATTACATTTTGAACATTTATGTTTTCTATCTTGACAATGTGTAAGTTTATGTTTAGCCAATGCACTTTTATTAGCAAATATCTAAAAAGAAAAGATATTGCTTTATCTTTGTATTAAAAGAATTATTGATTAAGTTTACTTTTGTACAATCTGGGTGAGTACAATAATGTCGATTTGTTTGTTGTTGAGGTGATAATGACGACATTGTTGTTTGAGATTTATTATTATTATTATTTGTTGAACCTAATGGTGATACTTTAACATCAGTTGATGAAGAAGATAATCGATTTTTTTCTATATAATATAAAACTTAGAATAAAAAATAAATTTAAAAAAATGACATAAAAAATTAACCTCCGGACGATTGTAAAATCTGACTAAAAGTTCTTGATGATGTATTTTGACTATTACTATTAGTCGAACTATGATTACTATTATCATCTTGATTTAAACTATTTGTTGACATGATATTTAATCGTTCATCTGTATTTATAATTAATGGTTTAGTCATTTGATCTTGTTTATCTTCTTTATTTTCATCATTTAAATGATTTTTTAAATCATTTTCTTTTAGAACATTTGTATCAAATGTAAAAAAAGATGTTCTTGTTGTTGTTGATGATGATGATATTTGTACGTTATGATTTGTTGGAATTTCAAAACCTGCACTATGTATAGGACTAAAAGTTTTTTGAAAATTATTTCCAACTGTTAATTGATTATCGGGATGATCATTTGATGCAAGTGGGTTTGGTGGTGTTGTTAATATATGTGATGTACTACGAAGATACAAATGTGGTGATGGTGATGTTGCACTTACTCGAGATTCATTTAATGGTGTTGTTGATGTTGTTTTATTCTCATCAACAGATTTACTTTGTTGATCATCAAGTAAATCTTGTGAATTTGAATCAACATCAGCTAAAGAAAACAAATCGTAAAAATTGGATTTTTAATTATTTAGAAAGTAAAAAAAAAATTTTTTTTCTGCTGCTATTTTTTAATAGAAAAATAAGTACACTTCTAGACATGATGATGGACGTCAGAGCTAAAATTAAAGTTTCAAACCTAATATAATAACACCTTGAAGGCGTAACAATACGATCGTATGAAATGAAATAATTAATTCTGTTTTTTTTTTTGACATATATTTATTTATTTATTATAGTAGAATATATTTTAGTTATTTTCTATAGATTACGTTAAAAGATATTTTAAGAAAAAAAATTAAAATGTTCCAGTTTTCTTTTTGTTTAGTACTTTAAATGTAGGTGTCATTGGTCGAAAAAAGTTTGACTTACTTTTTATCTAATCTTTTTTTCTGTTAATTATAAAATAAATCTCTTGTGAATTAATGACTAACAAAAAAAAAACAAAGTTTTTTTTACATACCAACAAGAGCATCTATGGACGCTGATGGATCTTCGTCATCATCAATATTCATTGATGTAACAACATTTCCTCCTTCATTCATTCGTTTAACCATAAATGGACTTAAAACTGGATTAGACCATTGTTGTTGTTCTTGAATTTGTACAGCAAGTAAACGATTATTATGTGTTGGTGTTGATGGTTGACTTGTATTTGTTGTTGATGATGATACAGGATTTGAACGATGATTTAATGGTGAAAGATGACCATTACTTGTTACATTAGCCTTTTATTTTACAAAAGAAAAAGAAATTTATATTCTTCTTTTTTTTAATAGAATATTTATTATACTTGTAATGTTAATTGATTATATGCTGGTGGTGTTGAATTGTTTGTTGTTCCAAGATTTTGTGTTGATGGTGGAAAATGAAAATAATGCTGATAATGATTTGATGATGTTTGTAATGGAAATGTATGAGGTGTATGTTGATGTTGAGAAAAAGGATCGAGTATATGTTGTTGTTGTTGCTGATGATGATGAGCTTGTTGCTGATATTGATGGATATTATGTTGCTGTGGTTGTTGATGATGATGAGAAGATAATTGAATATGTTGTTGTTGTTGTTGTTGTGGTTGATAATGAAATGTAGCTGTATGTGGATGAGGTGATAATATTAATGATGATTGTTGTATATGATGTGGATGATGTTGACTTGCATTATGAGTTTGTTTTAAATGACATATTGGTGCTGAATATATACCAGGATCATTTGATGGCTGACTATTATTTACATCAAATATAGATAAATCAATATTACTTGGTCGACTCGGTCGACGAAGTGTTGATATAGGTGGATAATGATATTGTTCGATATTAGTTGCTGCCTTAGATGATGATGATGTAGAATTTGAAGATGATGATACTGTTGATGATGTTTGACCGGTTGTAGAATGCATGATAATACGTTTTACTTGTGAAAAGAATAAAGTTGGACTAGAAGATCACTGTTTGACGATGCATGTAAATACAGAATAGAGCAACAAACAAACAAAAATAACAAAAATAAATAAAACCTAGAACAGAAAAAAAAACAGAAGAAAGACTTGGAAAAAAAATAGATCACGTCGTCGTTCTTTCCCCGTCACTACGTGTCTATTAGTTTCTACTCGTTTATTCTGCTATAGTTGTATGTACCTGCTAAAAAAAGGAAAGAATAAAAAAAACTGCCTGTATGCGTCTGTGTATTTGTTAAAGAAACGTAGGAAGAGAAACTCAACTAAAAAAATAAGAAATAGATGAATAAAGGATATGAAGAAAAAACAAAAAAAAGAGACAAATAAACGTGGGTTAATAAGCACGAAAATATTATTCTATGAGTATTTTTAACTAAATCTATGTGCTTGTTCATCGATTAATCAAGAAAGACAATACCAATAGACTCATATACGTTGAATAAAGAAAGACAATACCATCAAAAAGAAAACATATGCATTTGTTCTTATGAAAAAACCTCATTAATCTTTAATATAACTACTGACTTCTGTCAAGAACAGTAGATAAATGAATCAATAAATTTTGTTTATTTAAAAAAAAAGTTTTTTTTTAAATAAACAAAATTATGTATCGTACCAATCAAACGATACATATATTTGAATTAAAAACGATTCAAATTTCAGGTTAAATCCAGATTATTATTTAGATAACATGAAAAAAATGAAGATAACGGTGATTTATAGGTGTCGCTGGATTTAAAATTTTATTCAATCAATAAAATAAAAAGAAAAAACTTAATCTGAATATAATTGGTATTTGGTTGATTACTATATTATTTAAAAAAAAAATTAAATACCAGATGGCGTTAAATGATGAATGTCAAGGCCACAAGAGACTAGCCTTCAAATGATGACCTAGATCAACGACAAAGATATAAAACATACAACCATCTGACGCCACTACCTATATTCTATTTTATTTTTTCACTTAAGAAATGTAATATAACAGCTTCTTTACAAAAAAAAACGCATTCAAAAAAGTCCAAGTCGGTGGTATTAGCTCAGCATTAATGATCATCAAATATTAATTTTTCTAAATTAGTCGTAAAAAAAATAATTTAATACCTTTGTATTAGTATTAAGTTAACGTTACTATAATACAAACAAGAACCATAATCACGTGAACTTTTTTTTTGTAGACTTATTATTTCAGCTCGAATGACATCTTCTGTTTTCGGAAATCTTGTCTCTAAAGATAAGATTAAAATATCTTCTGTTCGTATCAGACTTACATGAATGTGCAGTTATATGTACTTATAATGAGTATTTATAACTGCGCATATTCACATAAATCTAATGGAAACAGAAAAATTTTCTAATATAGTCAGTACGGACAATATTTCAGTAAACAGAAAATTGCTCTTTTTTCGAGCTAAATTGATTTATCTAGAAAAAGTTTACATAGTCACGATCGCCATTCATATTATGCGAATGCTAACTTAATACTAATACAAAAGTATTTCATTATGTTTTCTAACACTAACATAAATGCATGAAATTATCTCTATAATTTTAATATAGAAATGTGTTAATGAATATTAATTAATACCGATGCCAGTTTGACACTTTTAGTTCATATTTTCTAATGAATGATGAAATTAACATTGCAATAAATTAAAAAGTACACTTTTCAAGTTGATAATAATAAATATTCGTTGTATTTTTGTCTAACCTATTTTCTTGCCAGTCAGCTAAAATTTAAAATATAAAAGGAGGAATGACCTTTTGGTTTTTTTGTACTGACGCACTTTTGTTAATGTATTTATAAATTACATGACTATTTTTATCTATTACTTGAAAGGATATTATTATATTTATGTAGTTAAACTAATACAAAATATTAACAAAAAGCTACTTACGTAATTTTGTTAAGTTCTTATTTATTTGTCCAATCAATATGAAAAAAAAGAGGAAAACAAAAGCTCATTCTTTCTTTCTCTTTTTGTCTCATATCTTATCAACACTACTCTAGCATTCCTTTGTTGCTCTAAGTTCCTGCGTCATCTTAGTCGTGCTGTTTTGTCGATTCTTTTCTCTTATTTTCTTTTTTTTCTCTCTTTTTGGTTTTTTTCTCTTTTTCTATGCGCGACATGTAATGCGAACCTGACGACAACAACAACAGAGCGCTGGCGCCAGCACAATACTGAGGCGGTGGTGACAGAAAAACAGCAAAGAAAATTGTCAAGTTGCGATGTAATATTAGAGGATGTAGCAGTATGATTGTGGGGCGTACGAGTAACTCAGGAGAAGAGTAGAAGAATGAGACCATGTTTGTTTCTTAATGTAATGAATGTCTAGCACTCATGACTTAAATGATTTCACGTGGCTGTGTATCCGTATTAAATAGGCATATTTCAGTAGGCAAAGAATGAAACAGGTGAATGAGAAAATGTATTACCATCAAAAAGAAATTTGTTTTTATAAATATTGGAATCAAAATATGCACCTAAGAAACAAAAAACAGCAACTGATTCCAGCCCACTTCATCTATAAATAGAAAAAGAAAAGAAGAAATGATTAGTTACATTGACAAACATAATGATTGAATCATCACTAGTTACCTAACACCAAATAAAACAAAGATAACAACGAAAATGCATTGAATCATTACATTAAAAAAATAAAGTTTTGTTTGACTCATAAAACCTGACAAATATTCTCGACGATTTTTCTTTCTTTCGTTCTATCATTTATTACTTCCGTCGTATCATCAAGGCAATATTTTCGAAATTAATATTTTGGACAAATGTTGCACTTACCTGTATGATACAAGGGATTTTTCCGTTACATAACAAGTTTATCAAGAAAAAACCCTGTAAAGGTCTATTTAACTTCGACCAAAAACTATTTATATTAATCAAACTATTGTATATATGATCTTCTATCTAAAATGGTATCCTGTAATATTAAGACTTTAATAAGGATTGATATTAATATTAAGTTCGTCTAACTTTACAGGAAAACATTAAATAGAAAACAAAATCTTCTTGTTTAAGCTAATAATTATAGATTTCAAGTCGACCAATGAACAATACTTATTACGGTAATTTTCCACTAGATGAAATATGTAAAAAACATGAACGTTTTTTTATTTCCTCAATCATCTATGTAGATTTTTCTTGGATTTTTCTTTTGAAAAATGATCAAAGATGAATACTTCAACAATATGCATTAGATATTTTTCTTTAATTACATTTAATTATTGATAGAAATCAGATATAAACTTAATTAATTTGATTATTAAGACAACAAAGTTCTCTCATATTATTTATGGAACTTGAAAAGTTCCGAATGAAAAAAAATATATATATATATATAAACGACGATCACTAAGACCATTAAAAAAACAATTCTACGATAATGCAATGTGCCATAACTATATTATAATTTTATTTTCAGCAATAAATGCTATTATTGTAACCAAAAAGGAAATTTATTATCATGTTCTAATATGTATAATCGATAAAATAAAATTTAGAATTATATATTATCCAAATAAAGATAACCATTGTTAACATGTTTAATAATTAAATAATGCTGCATAATACATATAATGCTTGATTATAAAATCATTAGAATAACCTTTTATTATATTGTATAATATAGCAAATTGATGAATAACGGTAAAATAAAATGTTGAAAGCTTTCTTATAATCAATAATGCGTTTGAGCTTTAGTGCATTGAATCAAGTACCACACATTTGTTACCATTAAAAATTTCTTCCTCTCAAAAATAGATCTTGGATCCGACAGACTTAAACCGCATGACATTTTTAAGATATGTTCGGACTCTGGTGGAAAAGCTATGATAAAATTTTCAGCATTATAACATCATGTTTTCGGAAGATATTCAACAAACAAAGATTATTCGATACACTAAAATACTCTATGAAATTTCATTCCATATGTTTAGTCTTTTTTTGTTTGAAAGGCATTACATAGCTCTTCTTGTGTAAATTTTTACTTCTTAAGCGAAGAAAAGTTGAATGCCTCGAAAAATGACGTTCTAATTATGGAAGTACTTTTTAAAACAATGGTAAGAAAGTTTAAGTGACAACAATGAACTTCATCATGCCCTTACATCTTGACATACTCTTTCAGACAAACAAAAAAATAAACTATATAGAATGAAGACATGCAGAGAACTGTGGGTTGTGACATCAGAAAAGCAAAAAATGTTTTCCGTTTTTTTTTCTAAAAAAAGCATCTTTTTCTAGTAGGAGATGACGGAAATCATCAAAACTTTTTGGGGAAAAGGGCGTATTAAACAAAAAATTCTGTCGTTTATGAAAGATCACATTTTAGATTATCTCCCCATGCATTTATCCTGATTTGAATTTTTCTGAAGAAAATTGACTTGTCATCAGGAAGCTTAATTAGGTCCTTCTTTACAAAGATTCTGAAGAGAACAGTTGGTTCATCATAAATATTTGAAACTGTCAGGATAGATAGATCTCTAGGGGTAGAGAAAAGATTGTTTGTAGAGTCTAAATACTTCTTTCTAGGACATATCTGAGTTGAAAAAGCTAAAAACTGCTCCACTTTCTCAGCCACAATATGTCCGATACAGCTGAAGTTTTCTTTTTACAGATACTAGACGCTGTTTCGAATACCTATTTTTTTTTTGGTTTCTTTTTACCTCCTTTCATTCGAAAGGAAAGATGAAAATACTGAGTATGCAAACAAGAGACATTTTTGGTTTTTACTAGAGCTTTTTCTGTAAAATCGGGAAAAACGTCAACGGTACAATATTTTTCAAAAGAGTAACGGAAGCGATTCTGTCTGGTTTTTATCTAAAAATTGATTTCGAGATAAAGTAAAAACAAATTTTCCTGTATGTAGCAGGACTTTTTGTTTTATATAACAAACAGCACTCAGTCTTTATTACTATCTTCAATAACTCGATATTCTTTTTGTGTAATTCTTAGTTTTAGTTCCGTTGAATAATTAACAAGTATATAGAGTTGCTCTATAAAAGCCATGCAAATTATTTTTATCTCATAATTCTAGATGATAATTAAATTCAATACATTGTTCTAGTATATATAATGGTATTTGCGAGTTGTTAAAATTCGTACACTCACAATTTTATTTAAGCCCAAGCACACAAAAGTGAAATACGCAATTTACTGTTTGCAAATTGTATTTGAACAAATATATTGCATAGAATTTTTCATAAAATTACTTAATTTTTGTTGTCCATTTGAATGTAATCTTTCAGTAGACATCATTTTTTGTACATACCCATAGAAACATTTCGAATAGCGCTAAGTGACACGAGAGAAAGGCTTATAGAATAGAACTACTTGTTTGAATCACTTCATGATAGAAAAATGTTGCTCAAAATTTGATGTACTTCAGAATTGAAATCTGAAAAATTCTCATTTTGTCGAATCATTTCATGAATGTGCTATTGAACAAACTGCCAGAACACTTGACGACAATACATTTTCTCTACAAATATAAACTTCAGTGACTTTTTTTGAGTCATTACTCAAGTCGAAAAAGCACTATCGTAAATGGTTGAGGACTCCGACATACATAAAAAAAAACGACTGTTGTACATGCTCGTATTTGGTCAGAAGTCGAGTTACACTGACCGAGCACATGCGAGTTTTTCGTTTTCGATTCAACAATAAATATAACGATAAGTATTTCCTTTAAAAAAAAGTTTTTTATTTAGAATAATTCGAACGATAGATGAAATAGTTAATAGTTTTAAAAAAATAATAAAATAAAAACTCGTCTTTCAGGCGGCGGAGGCAGTCCTTTCTTTTGAGTGCGAAGAATATATAAATACGATAACACATGGCGAGATACGGTCGTAATTTATACTGTATACAACTCTACATGATCGTTTATGAGGTTGTATACAACCGTGTACGACTGTCGTGATGCGCATACTAAATACTATAAAGCATTAAGAATATACCCAATCTGCTACAATATTACTGAAAAACATATTTAGAGAGCTCTTTAATGTCATCTTTATTCAGTGTGTCTTTATTAAATTTGACTACTGAGAGCACAATTTGTAGTCTAATGTTCATAGATACAGTCATCTTATTTGAAATATCTTGAATAAAATTTTGATGAGTATGGAAACACTTTATACATGACAAATATCAATAATTCAAATAAAATATGTTGGTAGAGATTTATCGTCAGTTTCTAAATGCGTTTATACCACGGATAAGTAAAGATGTGTTGGCTTTTAATCAACTTAAATGAGAATGTTCAGTACCAAAAAAAAACTATGAGGAAAATTTAATGATAATTTATATCTTTGAGATCATCTTTTTGTATTAATTAATACAAATGTAATTAACATAATCTATGTTTACATGCAAAATCATTATCCATTCGACAAACAATTATAATACATCAATAATCTGATATAAAATGTTGTTGATATAATGAGTGAACAATTTGAAGTTGTTCAGCATGATAATTAGATCAAGAAACACTTAGCTGACGGTAAAGATTTCATTTAGACAATGGAAAAATAGTTGGAATAAATAAAGACAAATGTTTATTTCCAGCTACAAAAACGTTGATTACGTCTAAACGATAAAATTCATCGAGTTATATGGACCATTTCAGACAAAAACGAGACCTACCAATCTTTGATTCTTTACGAGAGTTATTTTTCTGAATAAGTTCTTTTAGTGTAGACATCAGTAAAAATATTGCCTCTTTCAACTGATTATTAAAAGAACCGCATCTATGACCAAGCTTTCAGCAAGATCGAACTTTAAAAAAGTTCCTCTAGAAAACCGATTTTCTAAAGATTCTATCAAGTCTCGAAACAAAAAAAAATGTCTTATCACCGTCCAGAGATTCTGAAGAAAGTTTAATACCGTTTGGAATTCGTTGTGAACTTCTCATTCGATTAGAAGAGCATTTTTTCGTACTCCATCATATCGTTTTATCTATATGTCGCCGATAAGAAATTATTCAAATCAGATACAGAAAATTTAAGGATAACTTAAATGAATCAATTAAAAAAATATTTTATTTGATAAGATTGACTATCGATACAAAACAAATATAAGCTAATAATAACGGACTCTATTAGGCTATAAAATGAGAAGAAAACATCATGAATAATGTCCTAGGTCGAAAAAACACGACCGTAAATTGTTCTGTTATATGGTTTCGTATTACGATCGTATTTCTCTGTATTACATACAGAGAAAGACGATCGTTTACGGATGTAAACGTGGTCTTTTACTGAGTCTATTATACGATTTACATTTTACTCCGTATTTTGCTGTAAACGATCATATTACTACGTATTCTATAGGGAGAAATACGATCCTATATGGTGAAATGCGAAGTGTATACGGATATGGTATACCTTGTCCTGAAATGACAATTAGTACTCCACTTACTATATATCATATTCATCTTGCTAATATTTATATCTCACTCACTTCCTGCTAGCATAAAATTTAATGATGTTTTATTAACATTTTTTTCTCTTTCTATATTGACATAAAGACCTAAAGCAATTAGGTATTGATGAGGACAAGTCTCCAAGTGGTAAATCGCTTTTAAACTAAGATTATCTTCAATCGATGGAGCCTAATCAGTAGATAAATAGTCTAAAGTCGTTCGACCTGTTGGGCCTTTGTTGATAAGATATTAAATTTTTACTGGATTATTCCTGCAGGGTTCTAGTTTTCAAGTAGAATCATACTTTTGAATTTTGACTTGAAACTTTGTTCATATCATCGCTTCGATTAAAATAGTTTACAGAAAAAATTTCAGAATTTTTTTGACAATGTTTTCACGAGATATAAATTTTTTTAAAAATAGGTGCTTTGCCATAATTATTGTAAAAAAACATTAATATTTTGAGTGATTCATAACTCGTAGAAACATTACGAAAGAATTCTCAAATTTTTTCTACAAGCTACTCTCATTGGAATCTTTATGTCTGCAAAGCCTCAAGTCAAAATTCAAAAGTATAATTTTGCTTGAAAACTTGAACCCTGTAGAAATAATCTACAAAAAATTCGATATCAGCTTAAAAGCGATTTATGTCTTGGAAATCTTTCCTTGAAGGAGTATATTTAATCTGACTAATTCACAACAACAAATAATTGTTAACCTACTTATCACAAAAAACAACCAAGACAAGACTCACTTTTCAAACAATGTTCATATTTCGAATTGGCTAAACCATTTTTCCATCTTTATTGACCTCTTGCACATATATATATTAGAAAAAAAGGAAAATACACAACAAACGTATATAAACCAAAAACAAATCAACTACGGCAGCCAGCATTTGTCTGTATCATGCTTCCACTGTTCAGTCTAAATAACTTCGAAACATTTTTATGATTCTATACATATATCTTAGTGAGAGATTAGAAGTTTTGAAAACAAAAAATAAACCATTAGTGTCGAAATACACGAGAAAAACAAAAAACGAAATGACACTGCATTATTAGCACAACTTGTTTAAGATTTATTCAACTTTCGTATGTCCAAGTACAGAACGCATTGCTGAGCGTAAACATCGTGAATAAACAGGTTGAAACCCCTATGAAAGAAAAAAATATCGTTTATTAATGTTCTTTTCTTTTCTTACATTATTCCATATAACATCAGCAAAATAATCAATATATTCTCCAATTTCAGCATATTCTCCTGAATATTTTGTATATAACCATACAAATAATAATACAAAACAAACCCAAAATGCAAACATAAATATAAAATTAATTCCTCCAAGCCATATTGTATCTAGTATACCAGCTATTAAATAACATAAAATCATTGATGATATAAATGTTGTTGGTGTACGACTGAATGCAAAGACATTCTTTGAATCATTATGTTTTTTAAAATTAACTAAAAAGCAAAAGAAAAAAAAAGCAAAGACAAAATATTTTTTTTATAGGTTTTATATTTACGATAAAGTTCTGTTATTTCATTATCTAAATCTTGTTGATAATTTTGTGACATTTCTTCACCACCCATTTTACGTGCACAACGAAATTTCTCAATTGATTGTCGTCGAACTTCTTTATGAAGAACATCTAATTGATTTGGATGTATATATGGTCGATCACCACCACAATGCTTTACACAAAAATATATTAGACAGATATTTAGAAAAATGAAATGTTTTGTTTTTACCTGTTCCATTGCACGCATATAAAATTCTTTTGATACAGCTTTAGCGGCTAAATTATTTGCTTCAGCTGTAGCCTAAAATTATAAAAAGAAAAAAAGGACAAAATTAGAAAATATGAGATTTTTGAAGAACATAAAAAGATTTAAGATATATTATTAAGTTTTTTAAATTCATTTGATAAATTATTACATAAGTGTTGTTTATTCAACAAATAATAACCCGCATGTTATTGTATATCATGGATTTTTCTATTTATAAAAATATCATATAAAATATATTTACATACTTCGAGCATAGCTTTCGGCGATGGTAAATCTCCTGAAGCGAATACAGCACAATATGTCTAAAAAGAGATAAATAAACATGTTATCAATATCTAATATGTTCTCAAGTTGAGATAAAGAAGAACAATCTTATCAATGTTTTATCCAACGAAAGACATGTAATTTTATTGAGATTTACATTCATCACGAAATGGATTTTGTAATGATGTATCTTTCTATAGCCGATTATCTTATTCTAATCAATCGTGACCTCAACAAATAAATCATTATCCTCTTAGAATTTATAATCAAATCTGAAAAAGTAACTCTTGAAAAAATGCAAATTTTTCTTTTTGTCAAAAGGTTTCGATTTATATTATTCAAATGAACGATTTGTTTCGACTTACTCGAAAATACTCAAATAATTGTGTAGATGTTATTTGTTCTCCATTAATTTCTTTAACAAAATTTGTATTATCCAATCGAAAAAGTTCAGGTATAAATCCTTGTAATTGTGTTTTAAAATCTTTTTCAATATCTAAATTAAAAAGACAATGAATACGATTCAAAATAAAATAAAAAAAGAAACTGATTTTAAACCTTCTAATCTGCCATCAAAATCACGTCGATTTGTAACTTTAAGACCAGGATGTGGCATTAGAAAACAATTTACTTTACGAAAACATTGACGTAACCGAGAACGTACAAGTTCAAGGTCATGATGTTGATTTGGTCGAATCTTATTTAAATTCAATAAATTAATTTTTTTTTCTCTTTTTTTTTTTTACTTGTAAACGCTTTGTTAATATTTCTTCTCCACCTTCAAAACCATATGATGTTTCATATTCAAATTGCCAATCACGTACCAAAAATGTCAATTGCTAGAAAAACATCAACATATTCCTTTATCAATATTATGAACAAGAAAAAATTGATAAACCTGAAATGGTGATGTATGATAAGCATCTATTGCTAAAACTCCATATTCAGCAAAAAATGATAGATGTTGTAAATTATCTTCTTGTAAATTATGCATAATATTATAAACAGTTACACTACTAACAAGTAATGTTAAGGCAAATATAAATGCATTTTCAAATACAGTTGAATTTGAATCAAATGTTCCTTGAGTATCCATAAGAAGAACTGCAATCTTTAAAAAGAAATATATTTTTTAATTTTTATTCGAAATCAACAAACAAAAAAACAAAAAGTAAATTCTTACTTCTTCACCATTTGACAATGACATAAGAAATGGTTCACTCCACATAATCATTCCAGTTGTATGACGACCAGCACCTCCACGCCAATCGAATCCTTTTAATGGTTCATTATCTTTACCTATCCAATCTTTCTGATTCTAAAAAGAAAGTTCTTTTTATTTATATTGAAATTTTTAGTTTTAATTGTATTTACCTTTGCTCGTAAATAACGAAGAAAAAAATCAAGCATAAATGATTTTCCTTTACGAAAATCTCCAGCTATAGAAACAAGTGAAATCTAATATAGATAAATAAAATTAAAATAAAATTAGAATAAGAAATTTTTGTTCTTTTACTTTTCTGCCTTGTGCTCGTTTATGATATAAAATTTCTTTTAATTTTTTTTCATCAAGTACAAATTTATGATCGTCTGTTATTGATACAATTTGTACAGGACCTGCTGATGATGATTGTTCCATGAAAACAGTTTTAATTTCTAGTTAATCTATAAATATGACATATATATATAGGCAATAAACAAAGGAATAGAGGTTAAATCGGACAAATATTTAGCGTCGTATTACTGCAGTGAGAGAACATATTCAATTGTCATTGCAGAAATTTGCACGAACGCACAGAAGCATTGATAGAGAGGGCGCTGGACAACAGTGTATTGAAGAAATTTCTATAACCTTTCATTATCGTTGTTTCTTTGTATAAAATGATGCACAATGTATCTGTTCGATATTATTAAGAAGAAAAATATTTATATGGTGTTTTAATATGAATTTTCTTTATTTGTTTCGTTCTACAGTAGATGAACATATCAAAAGTTGTAAGAATTTTAGGAATGACAATGTTATATAATATTCATTTAACTAAAGTTAGAAAATTTTAGAATGGAAAATGATATTTTTTTTCATTTTGATCCTAAAGATGAAATTTATTGAATTATAATTCTTTTCAAAAGACGACAAATTTTTGTGAACTTGTTTTCTTTTAGTTTCAACGTATTTAACATGAAAACAATCATCTATTCAGCTGTAAGAGCTGATTCTAGATCATGATTAATGAACTGTATATTCATACAGAAAAAGATAGAGAGCAGAATCCTGTGAGATAAGACTTTTTCGTACTTCTGCCCTAACCTACTCTGATGCTTCCTAGTTTTGATAGATGTCAACATTAAGTTTTATTCATTGTGTTTCAGCATATTTATACTACAAATATGTTGACTTGTAACCAAACTTGTCGGAACTACCTTTGATCTATCATGATCTATGTTCAAAAACATACGTAACAATTAGCGATATCTATTGTATTATATAAAAATACTAAGATATAGATGTGATGTAACAGATCAGTTCAGTCTAATTACTACCAAAAACGTTGGTATCACATGTTTTCAGCACATAAAAGAAAGGCATTATGATAAAAGAATAAATTGCATTAGAAATGGTTTAATTATTATTATTGGCAACTGAAAACAAGAATACTTGAGCTGTTTTCTTCTCTCGGTTAGACTTACTGGCATTGCCGTTATTCTAATTATGGTAAGAGCTTTCTTAATTGTTTTCAAGTCAATATTATGTTATTTTCAATGATATTTTTTGATCTCGAATTTTCATGCTTAAAATCTGATATAACTACGAACAACGAATTGCAATTAAATTAAATTAAATTGTCAAATTTTTTATAGTTTTATTTTTCTTTCTCTTTTGTTTGGGTCTTTCTCGTTTTTCGAGTTCTACCACTATATTCCAGGAGGATACATTTCACTCGATCGTTTACATCTTTACTGAAGACGTTTTTAGGAAATTCTTCTGACAGGTCTACATAAGTTGAGTCTAGCTAATCAGTGAGTCTCTTATTGATCTCTTGGAAGAAATATGCGTGTGACAACATATAAATCGGCTAGTATCTGTTTGAATTTATGTCAGCTTAGATTGCTAGGTGAACAGTATGTTCATGATTTTGAGCTTTGGTTTCGTTTTCGATTTTTTTTATTTGCTCCCTACGGTTGTGATTCTAATGCGAACTTTCTTATATATGATCTATTTTTTTCTTCTTTATCTCTTCACTGGAGTAACCAATGGGACTCAGTACAATTAAAGTATATAATTTAAAAAAAGCTCTGTAGATATTACCATCATTTTTTCCATGTCATTGTTATTGAGTTATGCTCTTTGCAATAATTTGTAATAGATTGGCATCTATTTTATATATTTTATTCAGTTAGACTTTGTCATGTCTTAAGACATACGCATAGATAGCCAATCTCATCCAACGTCTACTGATAAAAAAGGAAAAAAAAAGATAATAGTCCTGTGACAAGTCATAAATACAAAAAAAAGTAAGTATGCGTTTGTCAATTATCGGATCAAAAACACGAACACTTTCAAATCGTCAATATGTGCCACCATCTGTGTTATCAAACGATACTCTTAATCGGCTATCAACAATATCCTCTAGAGATGAAGGCTGCCGATTATTAAGTGAAGTCTCAAGTGAAGAAAATAAACTTCTTCAATATCTAAAAGAAATTCTTGAAGAAAGAGTTCTTTTGGATAAACAGTATGCTCAAAATCTTCAAGAATTAGCAGCTAAAGCTGATCGTATTGCATGTCTAACAAAGACAAATTCAATGGCTTCTGTAAAATAAAAACTAAATTTTCTTTCTCTTTTTTTTACTAAGTTTCATTATAATTTAAAAGATTTGTCATAAACATTTAATGCAATGGTCTCAACGGGCAACAGCTATTGATTCAAGTGTTGATCAATTTCGATGTGATGTACTCGATATTTTACTTCAAAATCTTCTTGAACAAAAAAATGATTTAAAGAAATTTTTCGAAGATGAAAAACGTCAATATGAAGTTGAACATCAAAAAGTAAATATTTCTCTATTTTTTCATTTAAACTTGACTATTTATTTTAAAAGTAAATATTAGAAATAAATGTAATGTTTATGAATAAGTTGCATGTTTACAAAACATAATAGGATATTATTATTTAGACACAAAAAAAACACTTTTATTCTGTCTTTCAATGTATGATGTTTTTTTCCTAGGCTCAAAACAATGTAACTGAAGCTGAGAAGCATTATTCAAATGCAGCAAGAACATATGTTGCAAAGAATAATGAACTAACAAAATTCACTGCATGTAAGTTATTCAATTGATTTTCTAATCGATAGGTCGTAATAACATGATGAGTTTAAGAAAAAAAAACGATACTCAACTAAGGGTCTGGAACATACTGATAACAGGGTATCCAAAAAAGTATCCTGCTGACAATTGATTCGGTACACGAATGGTTTGAACTCAGTACACTTGATAAGGATAGGAAATCTGTTCAAGGAGTATGAATAGTCCTATTCGGTTCTCTAATCTTGGATTAAAATCAATGAGAATAGCAAATAGGTATGTTCTAAATCTGAACTCAAGTTCGGAAACTATCCAACCAGTTCTTATAGTGTCGAGTACTTAGATGATAATCACAAACATTTTTTGAGCTATGTGAGCAATTATAAAAGCACTCTGAAATAAGATTAAGTTCGAATATTTCTGAACATCGGCGGCTTTTGTAAAAAAAATGTCTGTAACCTTTCAGTTTTTGGATCATTCATTTCACTATATGTAGGTCTACCTTGGTCAACCCTGAAATCATATCTATGGGCTTCTTGCTACTTTCTTTTATTAGTTAGCTGAAAACGACTGGAGTCAAAACCGAATCCGAACATCAAGATTCGGTGCATGCACAGTAGTAAGCTAGTATTAAATAGAAACAGAAAAATAGAGAAGTAATGATGGTAACTGATCGATATTGATTCTACTTCTAACACGAATGATTATTTGTGATTTTTTTTAGCGGCTAAAATTGGTGATGATAATCGAATCACAGAAATGAAACGTTCAGTTATGGAAAATCAAGATAATGTTTATCGTGCTCATAATGAATATGTACTTGCATTACGAAACTATAATTTTATTGATGAACATTATATTCATAAAATAAGTAATTTAGTAACGTATCATCAAGAAACTCAAATATTTCTTAATCAAAGCTGGTTAGTTAATAAGATTTATTTTCAAATACTAATATATTTTAGAGCTGCCGACTTGGACTGCTGAATGGTATAAACAAGATCGAAAGAAAAAAATATCGAAAGTTCTTTTCAATAGAAGTTAAGCACACTTCTTCACCAACACTATATGAACAATTTGTTGTAGCATTGATTTCTTGTACTTTAACATGAATAGTACATACTAAAGCTTTATTTTTATCAGTTTCGATATTTTTTCTTTCAACATTTTTTACTTTCGACGTTTTTTCTTTCGGTCAATCTTATGCATGCCTGGATTGCTACCCAGCAAGCATTCACCAGATCATGCCAAAGATTTTTTTATTATATGATTTACTTATACTATGTCCTATTGGCGGCTGCCCAGTGAAGAGATAAAGCAAGCAGAAGTACATCATATTGAGTTAGCACTAGAGACGGCGTATATAGAAACAATACAAGATCATATGCAGAATAGTTCCAATCACGAATATAGAAAGCAAATAAGGAACGAGAAAACAATTGAAAACGAAACCAAACCTCAAAATGATGAATATATCGTTTATCAAACAATCTAATGTGACGTGAATTCAAACGTACACCCGCTAGCTTAAGAGTTGTCACAAACATTTCATTTCTAAGAGATCAATAGGACAATCACTGATGAGCAAGACTCAACATATCTAGACTCCTCAGACGAACGCCATAAAAACTTCTCCGCTAATAAATTTGCAAGCTTAGATAGTTATATCCCGTATGACTGATTATGAACGAAAAAAGGAAGACAGGCAAAACTTGTTGGTCTTAGTCATATGTTGTGTAATTCAAATGCTAATGCATTGTCTTATTATTCGAATGCACCTTCAAAAATTGATTCGAATTCAACAATAAATGTTTGAAATGAGCGTCAATTTATTTTTTGTAGAACTTATATTGAGTGACTGAAGACCTTGCTTAGCTCAAACACAAGCGAGCACTTTTTATAAAAATAAAGATTAGCATCCTTTTACATTAAAAGTCTAAAACTATATTGAAGCACTTGAAAATAGAATGTCAATTACTACTACACGAAGATTGCCTTTTTTGTTCTTTAAAATTTATAATACTGCAAAGTAAATTAGAAATAGTTTAGATTAAACATAGCTTTACTTAATTAATAAATTTAAATTGCAAAAACTTAAAATTGAAATAAACTTCAATCATGATGTAAAAAATGACTTTTCGGTTTATTTTTGCGCTTAAGGGTACCCTCATGACTGGAAAAACGATTAGTCTCTTTTCTTATTCTTTATCGCCTGGGAAATTGGAATAATATAACAATGCAGAGTAATTGAATTAAATATATTGGAAAAATCCGAAACATCACTCGACCGGTCCAAGTCAGACAGCAGCAGTCTGTTGGCAGCTCTGGTGTAT